AAAAGACAAGCCAGGTGAATACAACAGAAACAGAAAGGAATTAACTAAATGGCGATCACCAAGCAGCCCAAGCCCCGTGTCAGGAGCATGTGTGAGTAGACCGGTGGGAGGGCAAGGAGCATGAGACCCAACCTTCTCATTATATGCTTTGGCAGAAAGTACTGACATCTGAACTATGGCAGCCACTCAAGGCTGCCCTTTGGCTTCTCTTCACTGAAGCAAAGCAGGGGGCAATTCCAGAGGCAGGAACAGATTTGCAGAGATGCTCATCAACAGGGAGAGTGAGAGTGGGAAAATGTGCAGGTACCTGGTAGCACTAGTGCAGCCCAACCTGGCTTCACTAAAAGGGGGGAGTGGGAAGTCGCAATGAAAACAACAAAAGTGTTGCCTTTACTGTGAAGGATGCCATCAGGAAGAGCCTTCTTGTGGCGAAACGCTGCATACACAGGTGGGAAATCAAAGGATGCTCACAACATGGATAGTGATGACTTGGTAGTGAGGTCTTTGTAACTCAGGACGATGGCAGACATGGAAATAGTGGAGCTGGATCCAGCTAGCCTGCTTTCTCCAGATGTGTGGATTTCAACTTCTGGAATTCTCAGCAATAGGACTATCAGCTGAGGAACTCTAAAACTGGAAGCTGGGGGATGCCGTTGTACCTCCTAACTATTAGCTTAGAAGTTCTCTAACCACAGTACTTGTAAAAGCTCTAACTATCTTGTGCATGAATTCCAAAATTTGGGTGTGTTTAAGATTTGATAACCATCCTGAATACAGATATATTAAGATTCCCATGTTTTATGGAATATGGAAATGAACACATATTCTATCTGTTAAAATAGCTTAGGAGACCCTAAGTGTACCCAAATAGCACCAATATCCTGTAGCTGCAAGTACACACCTGTGGGAGGAGATCAGCACCTCCACTGCCAGCCACCTGTGGAAGAAAACAGAAGGCTTGGTATTGGTAGTATCATAACCACATACCAGCCAAAATTAGCATTTGTCCAGAGTTGTGTCACCACAAAAGAGAGAATAAAGAACTTCAGATACAAAAACTAGAGGCAAACAGGATTACCACAGCACAACCTTCCCAGCTCTGGGTCATTAGCACATGCCAGGAGGGAAAACCACCGAGAATTAGGCAGGCCATCTGGTGATACATTCCAGGAAAAGCCATTAGGAGAAACCCAATATTGACCCAGTAAAAAGCTCCATCTCAGCCAATGGGCTCCAGCATTTGGGAGCAACAAATCTGATTCCACACTTGGATGGAGCAATTTCCAACATCTTCCTGGGAAAACTTTATATGCGTACAGGTAGTCCTCACTCAACGACCACCATTGAACCTGGAATTTCCATTATAAGTCCCTGCAGTTGTTAAGCGGGTCACCACGTGACTTGACTCAATTTTACAACCATTTTTACAATGGTTATAAAGTGAGTCATGGTGGTCATTAAGTGCATCCATTCTTCCAAATCAGCAGATTGCCAGAAGCTGGCAAAAGAATGGTGCAAGTCACACAATCGCAGGATGCTGCACCTGGTAATGGATGTGAGCCTTTTGCCAAGTGCCCAAAGGGCAACCACATGACTGTGGCAGGGGGTGGGCGTAGGAAGCAATTGTGACTTCAGTGACAGGTTGAAAGTAACTTTGCGGGGGGGGGGATCTGTTGTAACCTCAAATGGTCATTAAGGGAGGAGTACCTATAGTTCTTAGTCAGTTGGATCACTGGACCATGCTACAAATCCCAAGAGCAAAAAGGAATCTCCGGGAGAAATGCAGAGAACCACATGATATGTCTTCATGTGGTTCCACGCAACCAGTGTCTAAGTTAGAGCAGAGAGAAGCGACTTTATGCCAAAAAAATCTCCAAACTAGTCCAGTTGCCATCTCGGCATCTCGGTTCGCTGGCTCTGAATTACTATAGAGGGAAGCCAGTCAGAATCCATGGACTAAGCCTGTGTCACTTTCATTACACGAGGGCGGGTGGGGGTGGGGGTGGATGGAGCTTGCAGGGGTGCTCAGTCTCAGCCCCTCTGATTCTGGCCATTCTAGCTTCAGCTGCTGCAAAACTCCTTGGCAAACCTGAGTCGGTGACTGGGCTGAGGCCGCACAAGAGGGATCTCCTTCCAGATTCATTTAACCAGCTCCGTCAAGCAGAGATTGATCAGGGATAAGATGGAACTGCCCACCGAGCTGTGGAAAAATCCTTCAGAGCTGCCAAGAATTCCAAGGTGAGTAGCCATACACATCTTTCCAACACACAGAGAAACCAAAGGGATCCCTCAGATGCCCAGGTAGAGTGCCTTAACAGATCTGTGGTTGAAGAGATTTGGAGTGACAGTGAGTTACTTTTTGGTCAGAAAGTGATCTGTCTGTTGGAAATGACAGCTGTCAGTGCCTTCCATATTCAGATAATATCTCCTTTGCTTAAAATAAAGACCAGTTCAAGAGTGGGCTCACATACATGTTTTAACAGTCATAACTACATATACAAGATCAGGTTCACAACGGAGTCACAAACCAACCAAAACTCCTCTTGTTCAGTATGGAAGCTGCTGTCACCTCAGACTCCTCCACCCCACCCCCACAAGACGAAGTTAAGTACTGAAGAAGGGGCACTGCCAGGTACCTGGGCAGCTAACAAATCAGCAGAGATGAAGCTTGTCTCTGCGGATCCATTTCACATGCAGGCAACTGGCAATCTCTGGAACCGGCTTCAGGCCGCCTAAACAGGGCCACCAAGGCCGTAACATCAGGCGTGCAGCAGGACCTGAATCCCAGGAGGACAGAGTTCCGAAAGAACGTAACTGCCCAACTGTGTAATACTGTGGACCAGGGCAGGACCTCTGCATCTGTCTGAAAAACCCTGGTGGGGGTGGGGCGGGGGAGACACCTACACGTATTAGTCCGTAAGACTAATGAGACTTCATTAGGCTATCAGCATGTGAGTGACTTTGAAACGAGTCCAGTTCATCCCATTAAACCCACATATCCTGCTGGAACTGACTGCATGCTCTAAATCCACTGAGTCCCAGCCATCCCACCCAACTTCATCTTCTCATTTCAATATAACCGTAGCCCACAGCTACACAGCTCCCCACCCCAGCAATCAGGGTTGAGGTACCTTCACCTAGTCTGTTCTTGCACTTCAGCAGGGAAGCCTTCCTGCCTGCCTGCTTTACAAGCCAACTGCTGCTCACAGCCACATTCCACTCTCTCCTCCTGGCTCTCCATGCCAGCTGCTGTTCTTGCCCTGATGCTCTCCCAGCAGCTAACCACACCCAACTGCTTCCATCAGCTTTCCTTGGCTACCACAACTAACAACCTAAATTGGCTCTTCCTTGTTCTGCAGCTACTTGGTCTCAAATAGTGGGCACCAGCTACATGGCACTCCCCCAACGGATCTAGAAGATACATGCAATGGCACTCACCACCCACAACGTCTAACATTTCCTGAAAGCAGCGAAAACAAAGTAAGAGTAGCAGCCCAGTGCCAACCTCTTGCTGGGGCTTGGCCAGTATGAGTTATAGCTTTTTCCCTGGTCCTTGTTGATGGCCACCTATCCACACTCAATTCAGCTTGTCACCATCCAGCAATCCTCAAACCTCTCGAAACTTTTCTACACACCTAGTTCTATTACTTATGCAGCCTCATTACATGTGACACTGCAAAAACATCCAGGCATACACAACATAAAACAACTTTCCATCCTCCGAATCATCCTGACACCATCTTAAATGACCTACTTGAAACATAAAATATCTCTGAACTAGCTGAACTTCATAGCAAGTTCCTCTCAAGGAAGCCCAGCAAAGAGAATTCCACAGGCAGCAGAGCAAAAGGATCGGCAGCCATTCCACCAGCCTGGTCCAAACTTGCATCCTGCTTTATGGCCAGCTCTTTAAACTAGAAACAGACCTGTAGAAGTGAGGGTACTGTTCAGGAGAGACACGTGTTCCCCATCAACAGTCCCACGGCAGCACCCCACAGTATAGCTTAAGGTTCCAAATGCGCTCATACACAGCCCCACGTAAACATGCCACAGAAACCCAAACAGGATACAATTGAGGCCTGCGTTGTCCTGGTCAACTCTGGCATCTGCACTTGGTGTACTAACACTAGCTAGGAAGACCAAGTCTGGCCATTCCCCAACTCTGGTGGACGTTCAGATTCTAGGAAGTCATCAAACTAAAATTTTAGGAGGGGTGTAACCCATCCACTGTAATTTAACCTCCTATTGTCTGATATAACTTGCAACCAACCAGGAGTCCCTCAGTCTTGTTTGAATTGATTTTCAGTTTTGATTGACTTAACACCACAGGCTAATGTCCAATTAAACAGACACCTTGGACTGCAACGGAAAAGGAGGGCAGAACTGGGCTTTATCAAGATCCTGGTTTTCCAGCCTCCTCACGCTAGGCAATCTACCCCAGCAGCTTCATTTAAATAGCAAGCTCTGAGGTATATTATGGTCACAACTAGAGGCATTCAAAATGCTTTGAGATAAAAAGTTTTGCACACAACTAGTCACAGGCGGCAACAAAAAAATTTCTGGAGCTGCCCCTGTAACAGACGATCCAGTCTGGCCAAGCTGCTTTCTTTCTTGGCACTGACCCCCAAGATGAATGGGTGAATGAAGTGATAAATAAATAGAGCCGTGTGAATTGGTTCCAAGTTAAGTGCCAGGGAGAGCAGGGCAGGACGGAAGTGGCTGAGGAGGGAGGGAAAAGGACTAAGAGGGTCCCATGGTCCAGAAAATGCTATCAGGGGGGCTTCAGGGGCCACATTAGACCTACCAATCTTGTAATAGTCATGGATTACTCAAAAGCTGCAAGCTGTGGTGCCACGTACAGAGCGTTGGGGAGAGAGTTGCATCTCGCATTAGGACACTACACTACCCCATAGTGAGTTGTGGGCAGACCAGCTGTGCCCAGATGCCTCAACCTGAGCCATGCTCCTTCCCAGTTCTCTCCACACAAGAACTCTTCCTACCTTCAATGTGTCTCCTCACTGTCCACACGGCATTAGGATTACCGGGCAACTCCGAGACTGCCATTTCAGACACCTAGCAAGATACAGAACAGTAACTTAGACGCAGAAGATTTGTGAAAATGAAATAGCCTTAGTGTTCTGTCCCAGCTACAAACCCCAAAGAATGCAGCACACACAAAGTCCATACAAACTTTAGTTTACTTAATTTAGTTTAATTAAGGACTACTAATGAGCTTTCTTAGTAGTTGTTCAAACACAAGTACAGTTTAAATCAGTCTTTTCTGAACAAGGGCTGTTAATTTAACTTCATTAACTGAAGCTGACAAGAATCCAAAGAATAATAACTCAATTCTGAGGCACAGTATTTCAGATAACCGTAATCTTACTGTGGTTGGCAGAATGCCCAGAAGCAATTTGCAGGAAAGATGACAAGAGAGAAACAAGAGCTGAATCAAATGTTTCTGGAATCAAGACGCAAAGGAATATGAATGAAGCTGTTTCCTGCAAATTGCATCAGTCATCACCCTTCCTTAAATAGGCTAGGGGAGTGGCCAATTAGCCCCAAGCCTTACTCTCGATGAGCCACTCCTGCCTTTTAACAGCTCTGCACGCTCATGCATCGAGAAGAGGGTCCTCCTCTTCTTCCTCTTCACTTATGGGAGCTTCTGGAGGTTCTGAAGGCCCTGGCTGAATCCCCGCTTCTGGCACCACATCTTCTCCAGCCTCCTCATTGTCTGACTCGAGCGCCAGCTGCACAGGCTGCTGGCGCAGCACCACACCAGCTTCCTCACTGTCGGAATCAGCTACTTACTGCACAGGCCACTGATGGGCCACAACACTTAAGAGGCTAAAATAGCAAACATTTTATCATGTTTATCAGAGTGATGCAAGCCTTCCTTCCTTTCTATACAGCTAAATCCCAGACACAAGAAAAACTTTGGAAAAAAAAAAAAGGAAAAAAATAGGTGGGTTTTTTGGAGGTGGGGGGGGAGAGGCATTTTTATCCAACTCCTTAACAAGAGAAAGGAGGGCTGGCCTGTTTTACTCCTTTACAGGAAGGAATAGTGACTCAAGGCCTTTAGGTGCTTTGATCTGACCGGCAGCTGTTCTCCAAGACCCCAAGCAGTGACAGCCATCCCAACCCTCCCACCAACCCCCTCCCCTCCCCCAGGACATGCCAGGACCTGCTGTTATGCAGCCTAGCGCATAACAAAAACAAAGTGAAGTAAAGAATCCATTTTCAACTTTGAGCTCAGTCTGTCAGATGGGGCTCCACACTCATTCAGGAGGCTTCTTACCTCAAGGCCATGTCTTAGGACCCTCAGAGAAGAACGAGGCCCCCTTCCGCATGCCACATACAGCTGAGGGGTATCTTCGTTTGCAAGATCAGCAATCTGCACGGAAATCCAAAAAACAGTAATAAGAAACCAAAACACCCATCCAAGGTCTGCTTCTGCTTCTCCCCTAAAGCAGGAAGACAAAGGCTATCACCCTCTGATGTGACGGGAAAGTAGACATGACTTAAACCTGGAGAATTTAGCAGTATAAAGAGCAACACAGAGCAGGATCTAACTAAAATATCACTATCCCCAGGCCATTTGTCTGGCAGGCAAGCCTAAGCATCCTAACTTTAAACATATCGCAGCATCTGGCTTATTTCTGTCAGGAAGTGCTTGTTATACTTTGCTCACTCACCTGAATGAAGGCCAAAGGAAGTTTCCTGTCACTCATGGCCACAGGTATAAAGATGATTTTCTCTCAATTCCCATATCCCAACCACTTTTGATGCCCATATACTCCTGGTCCGCTCCAGAAACCTCTCATTTCCAAGGTGTACCTCTAGGCAGCAGAGGAGCCCCGCTTACCGCCTCAGTCGTGGGGGCCACACATGGAGCATCTTCCCCAAGGACACTGGCCTGGCACACACCCCCTGATGCTCCTGGTCCTGGCAAAGTGATCCCTCTTCTCCCAGGCACTTCTCTCCTTCAGAGCCCCCTCTGCAGTAGCAGTTGGTTGCACAGTCAGATGTTCAGATTATATTTAACATTTTTGTCCATCTATCAAGTCCTTCCCAAGAACCTGGGATAGGTAGTTGTGGTTTAAACAACTACCTATCAAACTAATGATACAGGATATAAGCTGTTCCAAGTAAAGCTGCCTTTTAGTATTGACTAGTGACAATTCCATTCATCTTGATGGTGCTCCAGTGGCGTTCCAGGTATTTTGGGGTTGCACCAAAGGTGTCTATCCCAAGAGGGACAACCCCAAAACACCTGGAACGCCACTGGAGCACCACTTTCTTTTGCCACAGACGTCCTGCTTCTGTTTGCAGGTCTTTATATTTTGTAATTTTTCCCCCTCCGGTATTCTTTCTCTTCTCTTCTGCTATGCTACCACATTCACTATCCAGACTTTTTGTCTTTCCTATTGACAATTGTTAAGTCTGGAGTGTTGCTGTATGGCAAAGGCTTGCCTGTTTGAATTTTCATGTCTCAGAGCACTTTAACTTCATTTTCTACAACTTTGTCTATTTTGTGGTCCCACCAGTTCTTGCTTGCAGGCAAATGGGATTTCATGCCGATTTTCCAATGCACCATTCTTTTTTATCATGTCACTGTTTGTAGGCAGTCTGCACCATCTTCTTGCAGCAGCTAACCAGGTGGTCTGATGTTTCTTTAGCTGCTTTGCAGAGACAGCCTTTGCAGTCAGTTGCTATCTGCTCAATGCTGGCTCTGTGTGCCCTTGTTCCTAAGGCTTGGCCTTATGCAGCTAGAAGCTGCCCCTCTGCCTTTTTTCAGCTTCCCTGCTTAGTCATGGCCAGCTCTCAACTAATGGTCTGCTGCTCTGTCTGTGTGTGTGCGCGTGCGTGCGTGTGTGTGCATGTGTATGCTGGCCATGTAATATTTTGCCTTGCCATGTCTCTTTTCTACTCTTCATCTCTTTCTTGTAGGCTAACTTGGTATTCGATAAGCCTTTATTGTATTCTAGCACCAGTGTATCTTGTTATCCTATTATTATTGTTGTTGTTATTGTTGTTATTGTTATTATGTGTATGCCACCCAAGTCCAGGTAACTCTGGGCATTTAAAAATTATTTAAAACATAAAAAACAAGGCATTAAAACAGCACAAAAGCAAAAAGAAAGGTAGATTTGACAGAAGTAAACAAACTAGGTTAAATCATGCTGGGTGAAAACACCTTCAAGTCCCTTCAAAATATCAGCAGGAGGGGGGCCATTCAGGTCTCAGAGAGACCCTCACTTCAGAGGGCAGGTAAGGCCCACGGCTGAGGTATGGGCAGATGGCCCTGTTTAATCAAAGGAATCCTACAAGACTGAGCTGCCCAGGCAGTCCCTCAGGCCCTGTGCCATGCAGGGTTCCACAGAGAGTGACCGGCATGGCGAATTGGCAGAAGCCCATCAACAACTGGTGCAGCTCACAAAGAAGTTAGTCATGAGGAATGCTCATTACTGCCCACAACTTGGGAAACTTCTCAGTGACACACCTCCCCTCTGGAATCACACACACACAGACACACACTCCAAATGGCTCCCATCCTAATAACCTCCAGGAACTATTGAGGACCTGGCTCTTCTCCCAGATCTTGGGGCAGGATGATGGTTCAGTCCTATTTGGAAGAGGTTTTTTTATTGAGATGTATCTCTTTGGGATGCTTATGAATTCTTTTTCTATTGCCTGTTATTGCACTGTTTGGAGATTTTTTTCACCATTTTTAAAAATTAAAAATTATGGTTATTGTCTTGCTGAGCTTTCTTGTATTTGGTCTTGGATAGTAAATATATTTTGATTGATGTATTGTTTCTGCAGTATGTAATATTTTGTGTAATGTGTAAGAATTCATGGAAAATAGTTTTATTTGCCAAATAAAATGGCTAGTTATTACAAGAATACACTGGGAATAAACTGAAAGGAATTGTTCCTTAACAATCATACTGGTACAATTTCTCTGAAAGTAGTGATCCCTTTTTAAAGAAGAAAATGTATCTTACAGTTTTAATGGTGAAGTTTAAAAATACTACTAAAGGGGAGGAGTTGAGTATTGGCATGATGAACACTGATGACAAAACCCAAATGCTAAACTGTTACAGAGTTTATGGACTTCTTGAGTCCCAACAAAAAGGGCTGGCCTGACAGCAGCAGGAAGGCAGAAATACATAAAATATGGAATTGTTCATCTTGAACACAGATTAACCATCTGATCCCCTAAATAAGGAAGAGAGCTACTGCTCCAGGGGCAAATTTTCAGCAGCAGACAGGCTGGTCTGCACTTCTGATCTACACTACGTTTGCCATCCATGTGGAAGAGCAACATACCTGGCAAGACAAAATCGGAGAGAGACTGTCCAGCTCATCCACCAATACCAGGTTTTTAAGAGGCCGGGGCTGGAAGAAGAAGGTGTCCCCCTCCTCCAGAGGCATTGCAGAGGAGAACTCAGGCTCATCGTCATCATCTCCAAGATGGGCAATCTGGTAGAGGTAGCTGCAACAGAAGAGGGGCAACCAGAGGGGCTTTGTGTCAAACAAGATGAAAGGGCGAGGCTCCCGTGTTGCCTTTCTCTGTAGACTGCCTTCCCATGCCTGAAGGACCCCCAGATACGGAGAAGGTGGAGCTAGCCAACCAGAAGCCCTTCCAGGCACACCTCTTGCTTTGAAAGGGAAACTGGAGGTCTTACTTACTGGTTTCCAAACTCAGAAGCCACAAAAAGAAAGCCCGTTTTCAGCACACACATGGCTGCAGCCACAGGAACAGTGTCAAAATACTTCAGCCGAATTTCTGTGACCTGAAACCAGCACAAAGGCATTTCTGCATGAGACGGTCCTGGTGATTTTAGGTCTCTCTTTCTCTCAAACTAAATGTGCTCAAACTTACCATATCCTCATCAGTCTCCAAGGTGATTTTAAAAATATCACCCTGCTCTGTTTGAGCTAAGAAAAAAAACATAGACTTGGTCTTGTGGGTAGCAGAGCAGACAAAGATCATGCCTCTTTCAGGGTCATCCAAGTCATTCTGTCAAAAAAAGAGGACCAGGTTGTAGTCACAATACAAAGGCTGGCCTGGAGTACAAAGCCAGCTGTTTAAGAGCATGAAAGAGCATCTGTCTGCATTTGTGAAAAGCCTGGAATCAACTAGAACCATGATGGTGAACCAATGGCATGCGTACCAGAGGTGGATGCAGCGCCCTCTCTGATGGCATGCAAGCCATCGCCCCAGTTCAGCTCCCCTGCGCGTGTGCGCTTGCGTCCTGCCGGCCAGCTGGTCTTCAGGTCTCTGCCGCACATGTGCAGGGGTTGAGGCACATGCAGGGGGGCGCCTGTGCGGGGGCTGCACATGAATTGCATTTTGGGGGTTTGGGTGCGTGCGTGCATTACATTTTGGACGTTTGGGCACATGTGAGCATTTGTGCGCTTTGGGCACTCAGCCGGGAAAAGGTTAGCCCGCACTGAACTAGAGAAAAAAGGGCTAGTGACTGTGCATGATGAGCACCTTTTCTGTTTTCTTTGGAGGTCCTAAAAGACATGACCCTCCAGGCCCCTCAAAGAGAGCATATGCAACAATGCTCTCTTCCTTTTTCTCCAGCTGGACAGCTTCATGGGTAGCTTTCCAGGTTCTCTTTATAGCCTTGGTCATCCTTACAGGGAGATTTGAGGGATTCAACACCTTTGAGCACGATAAAGACTCAAAGTTGTCAATGATGCAATTATCAAGGCCAAGATTCTATTTCTATATTTTTCTTTGTTTGGGGAGAAATCTGGAGCTTTTATTTTTTTCTAAAAAAAATTATAACTATTTCAGGGTTTGTACTGAGACCTTATGTTTTTCCTAACTATTTCCTACCATTCTCCTTTTCCTCCAAGGGCTGCAGAAATGAGGTCTAAAAATACTTTGGGATGGGGTTCTTTAGGTACTGAGGAAATAATGTTTTCAGAAGAGTAAAGGTCACAAGATACTTACCCTCCTCCTGGGAATTGGACATCGAATATCTGGCTGGTCACCAAAGTTTTTGTAGGTAATGTAGTTTTCAGAGCAAATCAGTACCCCACTTGGACCATCGGAGCCTCCAGGAACTATAGACCACAGTCATGAGCATGGTCAAAGAACAAAAGGAGTCAGTTCGGGGGGGGGGGGGGGGTTCTTTACATAAAAAAGGAAAGTTCTTTCTAGCAACATATATTATTAAAGTCTTTCTGCAAAAAGACTGAATGGCAAACATTGAAAGGGCTCCACCTATCCTTTCAAGTGTTTACCTATCATTATTAGAGGTCAATGATAAGGACTGGGTGACCAGAACCACAACAAGGAAATGTATAAGTGAAAAGGAGAAAGAGAAGTATTCAGAGGCTAGAAAAAGAGTTTTCTGGAACAGGTTTTCAAGTTTTTCAAGAAAGAGACTTTGGAAAAAGTGCAAAGAAGAGTAACTAAGATGATTAGAGGGCTGGAGACTAAAACATATGAAGAACCGCTGCAGGATTTGGGTATGGCTAGTCTAGAGAAAAGAAGGATTGGGGTGACCTGACAGCAGTATTCTAGTATTTGAGGGGCTGCCACAAAGAGGAGGGGGTCAATTTATTTTCCAAAGCACCAAAAGAAACAATGATTGGAAACTAATCAAGGAGAAGCAACCTGGAATTAAGGAGAAAGTTCCTGACACTTAGAACAATTAACCAGTGGAAGAGCTGGCTTCCGAAGTTGTGGGCGCCTTCATCACTGGAGGTTTTTAAGGAAAGACTGGACAGCCACTTGTCTGAAAGGGTTTAGAGTCTCCTGCTTCAGCAGGGGGTTGGACTAGAAGACTTCCAAGGTCCCTTGCAGCTTTATTCTGACTGATTGCTTAAAGTTTCAGAATGGAAGTTCAATACACTTAAGCTGTTTGTTAGTGGATGAAACAACACTACTAAGATTTTATGAGAGATTCTATGGCATGCACAAAACATAGACAAATCTTTCTCTGGGTTTATGAATGCTGTGTATGTGCCTTTTCCCCACAAGGGCTGAAAAAGAGGGTACCTGTTATTAGAAAATTGCCGTGTTCTTCCAACGGTTCGCTGTATTTCCTGACCACGTGGTTCAAACCTAAATCTAACTCATAAAATGTCAATGTCTGCTGGGTGTTTGCTGCAGCTTCCCCAGTGGGATCATTGTCAGCTTCCTAAGGGGAAAAAATACCACTTATGTCCCATGTGAAATTTGAATAGTTTATTTTTTAAAGAAGTACAATATGACAAGGAATATCTAATGGAAAACACACTTAAGGATGTTTTACAATCACCTGTAAAAACTGGCATAACTCAAACAGATTAAAGGGTTCCTATCTGTGCTGCGAAGCTTCCTGAGGCTACCCTTTCCATAAAGGCCTCTGCAGAGCCCAGCCATCCAGAGTTGAGTCAACATGTCCGGAGCAAGTGACCCCAATTTTACTGCCCTAGTAAAGCTTCAGACCATACAGGCTCAGAAGCTGCATCAGGCAGAAACTCCTCCAGCCCAACGCTCTGTCGCACAACCCTGAGCTGCAGTGCAGGCGCTCCTTTCCGCTGTTTCTCCGGAATGGCCATTTCTAAATAGCAGTAGCTACACTGAAAGCCTCACCCTCCACAAGCGCTCCATCCCGCTGAAACCATCTTAATGTGGCCCATTATCACAACTGCGGACAACTCCCCTCTGTGTGCATTGAAGAATTACAGGTGTGTGTGTGACCTTTTACAATGGCCAGAAGTGTTTTGTGATATATAAAGTATCCTTTCCAAGACCACTGTAGCTTCTATCAGTTATTAAATGACATTTGTAAGCCAAGAGTAGCCTCAGCAGAGATAGATAGTGCAGAATCCATGGAAATGGATCCAGGCTGACATTTTCATTCTGTCCATTCTCCTCCCAATAGCTGCAGCTGCTGTCACCACCAAACAGGTAGGACAGAGGCACAAGGGTTTTAGAGATTCTCCTTCCAAGTTAGCACCAGCACCCCACAATCCCAAGCTAATCCCTGCCAGCCTCAAAGTACAGACAGGGTTAACAATTGCACTCACTAGGAGCATCTCTCATACACGCATTCCTTATGCTGAAGGAATAAGGCTTGTGTTGCAAGCCCAGGAAAGCAGCAGTTTCACAACTACAAGCCAACTACCAGCATTAACAATGTCAGCAAGTTGACCTAACATCGATCTAGTTATTTTAGAAATCATTTTAGTGAGCTAGTACCTCATAATCCATTTCCAGGCAAGCAAACATGGGATTTTCAAACCCAACGTCGACTCCAACCACATGATAAACCAAGGTGTTGGCCTTGTGGGCTTCCAATGGAGAAGAAATGGTGAGCCGAGCAGCTGCGTCTCTGTTCAGAATGTACACAAGTTTCTGCTTCTCAATGGCACCTGCAGGCAAAGAGAGGAAGTGCTGAAAGGGGAGGTGGGAGCCCCTCAGGCTCAGTGTCAAAGCCAGCCAGAGCTTGTCCTGCTCAGGCCGGCTGAACAGGCAAGGCTCACAGCTGCCACCTCATCTGGGGTCTCCTTGCCCTTCCAATACGAAGATCAGAATACAGAATAACAGAGCTGGAAGGGGCCTTGGAGGTCACCTATACTGCTCCTTTAACTTAATCAGTTTAGTTTGTATGATTTAAAGGTGGTCTATTTCAATAATCCACAGATATGTATAGGAAGCAAAGCTAATCTGGCACTAAAAAGCAGTCCCATCAGAGGAAGTTACTGCAGAGGCTAAATCTATTTGTGCCCTGCCAAGAGACACATCACTTCTGCTCAGTGACATAATCAGTGGCATAATGGGCAGAAGGAATAACTTTGAGGAACCAGAAGAGCCACTACCAAGAGAATGGTCAGACAAAGGAAATCTAAGCCTGGGTTGAGTGGGTGTCTCGGGCAAGACTGTCCCTAGCTCTAACAAAGGCTGAGGGAGGGGGGAGCGTGGCCAGACTTGCAAGATTATATTGCTAGAATCTTAAAATAAAAATCATATAGAACTCATTAGACTTTGGTTTTCTAGTTTCTAGTTTCACCTAGCCTGAACAGCTAATATCAATCTTATAAAGTCTGAATGTGCTTTCTGCGCATGCTCTCTCCCTCTCTCTCTTGATCCTTATGAGAATTATGGAGCTTCTTGTCTGGGACACTTACTGAAGATTAATGTTCTGTCCTGAACAGAGATTTCTTTTTTCTATAGTCTTGGTAGTAGCTCTTCTTCCTGTTCCTTATTCCTTCTCTCCATTACAAGTCAGCACAGCTGAAAATAATAAGCAGACTTTCCATTAAGAAAGTCCAAAGTGCCTAAATTTCAGCCCCCGTCTAGAACCATAAATGGGATGCAGGGTAGGTGGGGGAACCATGTGCAGCCACAGAAGTGGTTTTTCATGATCATTTTGAACCATAAACTTTCCCAATGTAATTGATTCCTCAGCACATTCTTCTCACTATGCAGTTGCTTGATGTGAAAAAACTCCAACCTAGACTACTTCATAAAGCTTTAGCGATACATTCAAAGAAACTCTTGTGAAAAGAAACATACAGCATTTCTCCTGGAATGCTGGAAGCAACACAGGGCAACAGTGTTGTCCAACAGTATTATCCTTTTAGTTTCTAATCTTTCTAGAACAATCCCCTGAAAAACAAACCATCTAGCTCTGAAACTGCCATACCTGCACGAAGTGATTTCCCAGCTTCTGAGCTGCCTGTTCCTATAGGAAGCCCTGATTGTTTCACCACCGTAGCAGAGCTTCTCCAGGCTACAGCAACAGGACACAGAAAAAACTGAATCCTGAAAGAGGAAACTGAATTCCATAGAGTCCTAGGGTTGGAAGGGAATGTGGAGGCCTTCTAGCCCAACCTTCTCCTCCTCCCCAGACAAATGGCTGCCCCTCTCTTGCTTTAGTTTGCAGTGACAGAGCCTTCCATGACTCCAGGAGTCAGGCTGCTGTCCCACCGCTTCATAGCTCTAACAGTCAGCAAATGTCTCTCTGTGAAGCTTCCACTGGCTGGTTCTTGTCCCATCCTCAGGCACGGTGGAGAATTCATCCACACTTTCTTCCCTGTGACAAGTCAAAGACCAGATAGATTTTGCTCTTTCCTCCAGGGCCACTTCCAGGGGATATTGGTAAGAGGGGAAGGTTTAGCCTGCAACTCCAACTCTGTGGGCTGCCAGGGGGCTCCACATTCTCCCTGCTCCTATTTAGCATCAACATGAAATTCCTGGGTGAGGTCACTGACTGCTGGGGCTAGGTATTAGTAGCTAGATCAGTGATGGCAAACCTTTTTCCCATCGCGTGCCAAAAGCAGGGGGAATGCGGGAGGGGGGGTTCGGGCGTGTGCATGCCCACACCCATAATGCAATGCCCCCGCACCTTGCTCATGCACACGTGACCCCCACACACTCCCTCCGCCCTACCACGCATGTGGGCATGACCCCGCTCCCAGCATGCATAGGGTGGCACCCCACCACCCGTTTTGGGCCTGGCAAGCCTCCCTGAAGCCTCCTGGGACCAAAAACAGGCTGTGGTGGCGCCGCCAGAACCCAGAAGAGTGTCAATGAAGTGCCTACCCCTAGCCTGCCACCGAGAACAAGCCAGTGCAGCCCCCACACCCCTTCTGCCAAGGGAGCGCACTCGCTTCCCAGCTGGCACATGTCTTACCCTGGCGCTGGACAGACGTTCCTTCGGCATGGACTCCGCTCCTGCAGCAGCACTGCTTGTTCTTGGTGGCGGGCAAGGTGGGGGCGGCGGTTCTCCTCCAGAATCCTGGGCACAAGCGGCAGGGTGAGAACCACCCCCCCCACCTCACCCCTTGACGAAAACAAGCAGTGCTGCCTCTGCTCCTTTCCTGGGGCTGCGGGGCTATGCAGCGGTTCTCACCCTGGCGCCGGACTAACAGCTGGGGCTGCGCAGCCCCAGGAAAGGAGCAGGGGCAGTGCTGCTTGTTCTCGGTGGCGGGCAAGGGGGGACGGCGGTTCTCCTCCAGAATCACAGCCACAAGTGGCAGGGTGAAAACCACACCCCCGCTGCCCGCCACCGAGAACAAGCAGCACTGCCCCTGCTCCTTTCCTGGGGCCACGCAGCGGTTCTCACCTTCCACTTGCGCCTGGGATTCTGGAGAACTGTCCTCGCCATCTACCAAGAACAAGCAGCGCTGCTGCTACTGCTCTTCTGGGGCACCCAAGCCAGACAGGCACTCCGGACCACGGATGCACATTGCCATGGGCTGGAGGGCTGGGGCTGCGCAAGAAGCCCACTCGGATGGTGAGGGAGGGAAGCCCTGGCCCGCCCTGGCCGACAGCTCTCTCCCCTAGTAAGCGACCGCCGGGGATCTCGTTTATGCGTCTTTGGGCACACGAGCTGTTCTTCACGTACACATGGTTTCTGGCGCTCCCGTGTGCGTGAAGACCAGTTGGCTGGCGCACCAGAACCCGGAAGAGCAATATGCGATGGCCCTGCATGCCTGGAGAGATGGCTCTGCGTGCTACTTCCAGCATGTGTGCCATAGATTCGCCATCCGGGGAGGAGTTTGATCCTGTGACTCCCGAGGATGTGGACAGGGTTCTGGGTAAGATTAGTGCCGCCACGTGTTTATTGGACCCGTGTCCCTCCTGGTTGGTGCTGGCCTCCCGGGAGGTTACACGAGGCTGGCTCCAGGGGATTATAGGTGCTTCTCTGAGTGAGGGTGCCTTTCCTGCCGCCTTGAAAGAGGCGGTAGTGAGGCCCCTCCTCAAGAAGCCTTCCCTGGACCCGGCTGAATTAGCCAACTATCGTCCAGTCTCCAACCTTTGTTTTGTGGCGAAGGTTGTTGAGAGCGTGGTGGCACGACAGCTTCCCCGGCACCTGGATGAAGCTATCTATCTAGACCCGTACCAGTCGGGCTTCAGGCAGGGGTACAGCACAGAAACGGCATTGGTCGCGTTGGTGGATGATCTCTGGAGGGCTCGGGACAGGGGTTGCTCCTCTGTCCTAGTCCTATTAGACCTCTCAGCGGCTTTTGATACTATCGACCATGGTATCATGCTGCAGCGGTTGAGGGGGTTAGGAATAGGGGGCACCGTTCTGCAGTGGTTCTCCTCCTTCCTCTCCGACCGCTCACAGTTTGTGTTGGCAGGGGGACAGAGGTCGACCTCGAGGCATCTCGCATGGGGAGTGCCGCAAGGGTCGGTCCTCTCACCCCTCCTGTTCAACATTTATGTGAAGCCGCTGGGTGAGATCATCCGTGGTTTTGGGGTGAAGTGTCATCTGTATGCTGATGATACTCAGCTGTACATCTCCACCCCAGACCACCCCAACGATGCCCTTGATGTGATGTCCCGCTGCCTGGAGGCCGTGCGGGTCTGGATGGGGAGGAACAGGCTCAGACTCAACCCCTCCAAGACCGAGTGGCTGTGGCTTCCGGCGCCCCGATATAGTCAGCAGGTGCCATCGCTGACTATTGGGGTGAATCTTTGCCCCCCCCAGAGAGGGCTCGCAATCTGGGTGTCCTCCTGGACGCACGGCTGTCTTTAGAAGAGCATATGACGGCCGTGGCCAGGGGGGGCTTTTATCAGGTTTTCCTGATCCGCCAGTTGCAGCCCTTTCTGGACCGGGACGCCCTGCGCATTTTATTTTATTTTTATTTTATATTGGATTTCTATACCGCCCTTCTCCCTGAGGACTCAGGGCGGTGTACAGCCAGATTAAAAAACATGCAGAACAAATATTAAAAACAATTAAAAGATATATAAATTTGGCCCAATGTCACTCATGCCCTTGTTACCTCCTGGTTGGACTATTGTAATGCTCTCTACATGGGGCTCCCCTTGAAGAGCACTCGGAGGCTCCAACTGGTCCAGAATACGGCCGCGCGGGTGGTTATGGGCGCAACTCGTTGCGCCCACGTGACACCCCTCCTGCGCGAGCTGCACTGGCTCCCAGTGGTCTTCTGGGTGCGATTCAAGGTGTTGGTTACTACCTCCATAGGACCCGGGTACCTTCGAGACCGTCTTCTGCCACCAATAGCCTCCCACCGACCAGTCCGCTCCCACAGGAGGGTCTCCTCAGGGTGCCATCGGCCAAGTTATGTCGGCTGGCGACACCCAGGGGGAGGGCCTTCTCTGTGGGAGCCCCAGCCCTTTGGAATGAACTGCCCTCGGAAATACGTAAGATCTCCGACCTCCAGGTGTTTCGCTGCGCACTGAAGACCCTGTTGTTCCGCCAGGCTGGGCTATCAACATAATAATTTTAAATTGGGTATTTTAAATTTCTGGGATTTTAATTGGAGCCTAATCTATTTAATGATTTTAAATTTTAATCGTTGTTTTGTTGTGTTTTTAAATAGGCTGTACACCGCCCTGAGTCCTTCTGGAGAAGGGCGGTATAGAAATAAAATAAAATAAAATAAAATAAAATAAAATAAAATAAAATAATAATAATAATAATAATAATAATTATTATTATTATTATTCAGATCAATATTGACCAAGTAGTTTGCTACGATCTTGTTTTTATTCTTAGGTGTTACTTTTAAATGATATAATAATGGTTTGTTATTTGCTGCCCAGTTGCTACGCAGCCGTCTATATCAGTTATATCGATCAAATAACTCTCCCCTTAGCCTTCCTGTTCTTTAACCTAAATGTACCCAATTTTTTTTAACCATGCTTCATAAAAACTAGCCGCCCCCTCTCTCCTCCTCTTGGCCCTCTTTCCAGTTCCTCACCATTCTTCTTATACTGTGCCAACCAAAACTGGACAGTGCCACGGGTACGGCCTGAACAATGGAACTATCACCTTGCATAATCTCAACATTATTCTATTAATAAGACTAAGATTACATGGGCTGTTTTGTTAGCTGCTACACACTGCAGGTTTATTTTTAACCTATGGTCTACCAGCAACCAAGATTTTTCTCTCAAATATTACTGCCAAGCCAGATACTAATACTACTTACTCATCTGACTTCTCCCATATAAGTGGAGAATTCTACATTTCTCACAACTGGACTTCATTTTGTTGAAAAACTAAAAAAAAAGGCCTTTGAACTTGTCTTCGGAGATGCCCACCTAACTTTGGGGATTACACATCTGCTGAACATCCCTTCTAGCTCCTCATCTAAGTCATTTATAGAAAGGTGAAGAGCACTGTGCCCTGGGCAGAAGCCTGAGGGCACCCACTGGATACATCTCTCTCTCTTTCTTTCAAGCCAGTGTTTCTTCATACACTGAATCTAGTTTTTGCCACCAAGATGTATTTAAAAGCCAACAAGTAATTATAACAAGTACCTGATCAGAAATGGATCCAAGTGTCTCCATAGCTTATTTCAGAGAAGAGACATGAATTCCTAATCATCATTTCAGGCCAAACTGCTGGTTTTTCAACTGATTCGATAGAAAATGCCCTTATGAAAATGCCCTCCTTCTGGGAGGCTGATCCAGACACCAATCAGCTTTTTTCTTATTTTCCTCCCCAAAAACTAAGGGGCATCTTATACTCCAAAAAATATGATATTTCGGGAAATATGTCTTTCTGCGATCCATGAATTCTGACTGGCTGCAACCACTATGCACCCCCAAATTTTATGATGGCACCTTTGATACTTTTTCAAAAATCCAAACAAGCCCCACAAGCAAAAACATTAAAACCTCTGATCAAAACACTTACTGGCCATTTTCATATAATACTAGCCTTACAAAATAAACCACAACCAGCTGAGGCCAGACAACATGCTAAAGCATAAACCATAAATTCATAAAACATGCAACTGAGAGTCAAATCATTGCCAAACATACCGTAAGCGCAATAACACAGATATGGACACCAGACACTAATGGTATGCATCACCCAACCACATTTGTAATAAATTTCTTTTAACCATTTTCCCCAATTGCCATTCGCATACAACTTACTGATCATGACAGCCCGCCCTTTAGGATCCACAGCCAAGTACTGTCCAGGAACAATTCTGCGGCAGCCGCTCTTGCCAAAGGTTTCCTGATGAATTTTCTCAAACACATTTTTAGAAGGCTGGTATTCCAGGATGACGATGCGGCCTGAATCACTGCCCACCACAATGTAGTCCTTGGTCCCACCAGTTAATCTGAAGGCCATGAGGGAGCGAATGATGCCAAAAACTTCTACCGTCAACAAGGTATGAACCTTTCCAGTGTTTGGATCAGGACGAAGCAATTCCAAGATTTTTCCTCGGGAAACAACAATTTCTTGCTGTTTAGTACCTGGAAAATGCAAGCTACGATCAGCAACTCAGGAGGATTAAAGCCTTAGCCTCCTCATTAACTTCAATCCAATGTCAGTTAGGAGCCGCAAACCATCCTTCTCTTGATTTCTTGTGTCTAAACTCCCACACAGTTACCTTACCACAGTTACTTTTAGGAAAGGTACGTACAGAAGGAGGATTCTGCAAGTTCCTTAGCAGGCAAAGCAATCCGGGCTGGATGCCAGTTGGACAAAACCTAACATGGTGAGTGAGGCTGGATCTCTTTACGTGGGACTCTTACTACACTCACGAAAATGGACAAGATTGGGTTGCTCCAATGTGTGGTACCATAGGGCTCTCCTGCAGTCTCCCACTTAACATCAAAACAAAGGCATGCATAAAGCCCTCCCCCAGTTCAAGGCAAAACACCATCGGTATGTTGATGAGACTCAAGCTATGTGATGCTTGGACCAGGACTTGGGGAGGCTGCCAGGGGCAATATAAACTCAGATTAAATCTTCCCCAGACCAAGTAATAGAACAAAGACAGATATTTGAAGAGCATCAATTCCAACGGTCAACCAGAATAAAACTGTGCTCTTCATGAAGCAGTTGCTTACTGATTTGGGAGCCCTGGTGGAATCAGAAATGCAGGCTCCCCTTGCTTTATGCTAAAGTCAATTTCCCCACAAACCTCATCTAACCTCACATAACCACCCAACTACACAAAAGGGGTTTTTTTTGCAACGTGAGTAAAATTGGATGAAAATTATCAGTTGTATAATAAATTTGCATAAAATAAGGAAAATCTATTCTGCTTAAACAGCAGGTAGCATGTCAATCCTCCCTGGTGAATCAGATAGGAGACACAACTAGATGAGCTAAATCTACTTTATTTTAAGGCAATAAAATACTAACAGAATCCTGCAAGTCTGAAAATATGAACTTTTAATCACTACTTTTAACCGCTTCATACATTAGGGTTGGTCCTCTTAGTTTATTTCTTTGACTCTTAAATCACTGGGGGTTCTTGCCTCTAATCTGATTTGCTTCCTAGGCAGCGCCTCTTCTCCACCTTCCATTACATGCAGGCTGTGGCTCCCCACATCTTTGCTCAGTTATCTTTGGTTCACCAGTTGCTAGTCTACATACAGCGGTACAGGGGTGTTTCTGCAGTAACAATGCATGCCTTGATCACCCCCTAACTGTATTGCTCATTACTTGGGGTTGCCTTTGGAGAAGACCTGGAAGCTATAACTGGTCCAGAATGAAGTAGTGAAACTACTGCTGGGTCAATCCTGCCACTGAAGCCTATTGGTAACCAAGGCAGCAACTTTAGAAGAATTGTTAACCTCTTCTAAAGTTGGTGCCTTGGTTATCAATAGGCTTCCGGAGGCAACAACTCAAAATACGTTAGGCATTGCCCAGCATGGCAAAATCTGCCCATTTGGTAAGAATATCTTGAAAAGGCCTACTAAGAGGCCTTTCTCCCCCAAAATTTAGAACACGAGCCAAGTAACAGAGCTTTTTCTGCTGTGGTCCCCACACTTTGGAATTCTTTAACCACTGTCACAGCATTTGAAAAGCCATCCATTCGACCCAGGTTTTAACCCTAGTTGATGGCCAATGGCATCCTTAGGGGAGATTGTCAGAGGTCACACCTGCTTTCACTCCTCTGGAACTATACACAAAGGAACAAGTGCCGGCCCTTACGTGCGGCCTTGCGATCAGAGTGAAGTTTACCTGAAAAATTCCCGTGGATGGCATAGCTGATGCCAGTGGCCCGTTGAAGAGTTAAGTTGTACAGGAACATGGCGCCGGTTGACGTCGTTTCCCTTCAGCCCACCAGCTAGAAAGAGAGGGAAACAACGAATCCCGTAAGCATCGGGGGCTTCGTAGGACATTGGCCAAGCCAGTAATTCTTCTCCGGTTCTTGCAACTCAATTAGCAAAGGGAAGAGGCCGCGCTTGGGGGCAGAAAAAGGCCCAACGCCCTTTAAGCCGCAGGCGAGATGAAGGGCAGGAAACGCGGCGGCGGCGGCGCCTTAACGGACCAGGCCCGAGAAGGGACAGAGACCCGCGCAGTCGGGGACACAATGCAGACGCTCATCCCGCGCCAGGGCCAGAGGCGCAGCCGCCCTCCCAGGGACAGGACCGCCGGGGAGAGGGCCGCGGCCGCCCCAGGCAGCCTCCCGGGCCGAGATTCAACGGCACCTACCGCAGAACGGCGCGGATGGCGGCGGATCCCGTCGCCCCTCGCCTGCCGCAAGGCCCGCGCTCCTCCCCGGGGTCCTTCGAGGCACGCGGCGCGCGGGCTGCCCTCGTCGCGCCTGACGCAGCGCCACGGCCTGCGAGGCCCCCTCGGACCGCGCGTCAGGCCCCGCCTCGGCGCCCAGGCCCGACCGGATCTCCGCCGCCGCCCGCACCGCCGGCGAGATGTGCGCCTCGGCGCTGTCGCTGGAGCAGCTGCGCGGCCTCACCGAGCTGCCGGAGCTGGAGGCGGCCTACGGGCGCCTGTGCCGCGAGGAGGTGGGTGGCGGGGAGGCCGGCGGGGGGGGGGGGGGGGGGGGCGGCGGGAGGCGGCCTCGAATGCGCGTCTGCTTCGTTGCAGGGCGAGACGCGGGCAGAGCTGGAGCTGCTGCTGGAGCAGCGCGGCACCCTGGAGGGGAAAGTGGCGGCGCTGCACCGGATGGGGTGAGTGGCGGGGGTTGGCCGGGGCGAGTGGCGCGGGTTGGCCGGGCCGGGGAGCCTCAGCCGCCGCTCTTTCTCCGCCTTCGCAGCCCCAACCTGCAGCTGATCGAGGGGGACGCGCAGCAGCTGGGGGGCACCATCGCCTTCACCTGCCGCCTGGCCGAGAACGTCAGCAGCAAGGTCCGCCAGCTGGACCTGGCCAAGGTGGGTGCCGCCGCCGCCGCCGCCGCCTCCCCGGAACCGAAAGGCCGAGGCGGAAGGGAGGCGCTGGGCCGGCCCGCCGCGCTCGCTTTGTGCGGCACAATTCTACTGAACCTGGTGGAGGGCTCAAGAGACATGAGAAGGAAAGCAGGGGGTGGAATAAAAGGGACGACTCTTCCCCGGCGGTAGAGTGACCTTTAAGAACGTTACACCCTCCACTTTATTACAGAGATGCTACATAATAGCGATAAGTGCAAAGTATCGCACCTTAATAAGTCTTTTTAATGTCACTCCACACAGGGACAAGATTGTTTTGAAACAGTTTGGAGTTTGTATTTGTCAATAGAGTCCCAGCGTAGTTAACCTTTTTCTCCACCTTAAAACCTGATTTTCTTGCCAACGTTTCATTATCTTGAGAAGCCATATTCTTAACAAGCTTTTTTTGTTTTCTGTTTATAAGTCATTTAGCTTCATCAAGTGTTCTATAGCAGTTTTTGGGTCTCCCAGAAATATAATTAAGTCAGTAGTGAAAGCTCTCAATTTATAAATTTTTCTTTATGCCCTCATCTTCTCATCCTCTGATACTTCTATTCACAACTTCCAGCATTGATATAAAAAACAGGGCAGATAGAGGACATCCTTGTCTTGTACACTTTTAAAATGGTTTACATAAATCTTCATTGATGATGTTTGCTCTGATGAGTATATGCCTTCCAAATGCCTTTTAAATTTAAAATACCAATTTAAGTTACCAAAAGCTTTCTTTGCATCCAAAAATATTAGAGCTGCTTGTTTCTGGTTGTTAAATTGTCAGTATTCAATAAGATTCAAAACAGTTCTCATATTGTCTCTCAGTTGTCTTTTTGGCAAAAAGCCAGATTGGTCCTGGTGAATGTAAGATTGTAGACAGTATTGCAGTAAAAAATGTATAGTCGTTGTTTACTAATGAAATAGGTCTGTAAACCTGCTCACTTTGCTTTGGCAGAACCGCCTCTACCAGGCCATCCAGAGATCAGATGATATTTTGGACCTGAAGTTCTGCACCGATGGTGTCCAGGCAGCCCTGAGAAGTGAAGACTATGAGCAAGCGGCAGCTCATGTCCACCGCTACCTCTCTTTGGACAAGTCGGTCATTGAGCTGAGCAGGCAGGGCCAGGAGGGTAAGAAGGCCATTTGATATCTGGCTCTTCCTGAGTGGGCTCCCCCGCCCCATAGCGTTAGCCCTTCAGAGGGCCTTCCTGCTCTCAGTCCTTCTGCGCCCAGACCTTCTCCAGTGTCACCTGTTTGTAACATTATGTGAGGTTCACTGAAAAAGATAGGATATCAAATGGTATAAATTGGCATTGTGGCATGTATATCATCACTGTTATATGCATGTGATACTGTACTATAACAGACAATGCCAAATACTATAAAATACTACATCACGCTATATCAGCATAGTGACCATTGTGATTTTTCTTGACCGTTAAACTGACTGTAAGAAGTCAGTAAACTTGTATCAAAAACACATCCTCAAAATTTACTTTGAAGCTGCCTCATATTAAGTTGCCTCTGGCCAGCAGCAAACCATGAATGTGGCTGTTGTTACTGGTTTTAAAGGCTTCTAGCCCTTCCCTGCCAGGAAAACCAGATGTTTTTTACTTTATTCAGCATTGGAATTAGAGTTTATCCTCTAGTTAGGACTGAAATAGAGTTTACTCCCAAGTTTTTCTTCTGTCTCCAGTTCAGGCTTCTCTTAAGAACCTGGATTATTTAGTTAAATTAATCTCGGCACCTATAAAACAAAATAATATTGCAGCTCATTCTCTTCCCTGGCAGGCACCATAACTGATGCCAACTTGAAGCTCCTGCAAGAAGCAGAACAGCAGCTCAAGACAATTGTTACTGAAAAATTTGATGTTGCCATGAAGCAGGAAGACATGCTTCAAGTGGAACGCTTCTTCAAGATCTTTCCCCTGCTGGGCCTGCATGATGAGGGGCTGAGTAACTTCTCCAGATACCTTTGCAAGCAGGTGAGCACCTTGCAGGTCTGGGGGTGAACAGCAACACTTGTGCTGCTGAGAGGATTTCTCACTTCTCTGCACTCTGTCAGTCTGGTGGATGGAAGAGAGTTGGTGGCCCGGCTTCTTCTGATCCACGCTCAATTGGCTAAAGACAAACAGAATCCAGGGGTCCTTTGAGGAACCAAGCGAAACTCCGTTATTCACTGATTTCATTTGGCTTCAATGTTTACTCCAGGGGCTTTTCCAGTTTCCTAGATAGCTTCAGTTTCTTTCATTGAGCTGCAACCAGTTTTTCTTCTAATGTTTGAGGTGTGTTTGTTATCATAGGAAAGTGTAAGCTGTCAAGCTTCATACTGCCAAGTTGTGTTCATCTTGTATCAGCAGTACTGCAGAGATCAGTTAATAAGCCGCAATACCTGGGGGTGCACCCCTAAACTGGTGGTGTTAGCAATCTTTTCCAGTCTTAGCCATCTATAAATTTCTCCCCATTCCTTCTATAATTTTGAATTTCCCTGAAGCTTGCATATTTTTTGTGTGTGTGATAAAAGTTAGAAATAAATTCATAAATCTTGCTTCAAGAATACCTCTTTTTTAATTTATTAAATTCCCATTTCCTAGAATCCAATATTAATTATCCTTTTCCCCTTGGTTTTCTGTAAGTTTGAGAATTCCAGTACAGAGCAATCTCTTCACTGGATTTTCACCATTAGCACTTCATTGGCCAGCTGTTCCCTACCACTTTGATGAGTGAATTTCCTTTTCAATCATCTATCTTCTTAATGAGGAATCTTGCCAAGAATTTATAGAAGATGCACTTAGTATGTTTTGTCTGTCCCGGCTGATAATTGAACTGCCTATTATTGTCCTTTGGAGTATCTGCAGTTTGTTTCAGGAAGACCTTGGAGAATTGGTGTGCATTAAAAAGTAGGAGATAGCAGTGGTGAGCCATCTTGCACCAATGGGTGCTGTGAGACAACAGAGCAGGCTAAGGGAGCCTCTTCTTTCCAGGTTGCTAACAAAGCAGAGGAGAATTTACAGTTAGCGTTACGGACTGACCCAACAGACCGGCGATATGCAGTCCTGTTTGCAGACACGCTGACGCTCCTTTTTGAAGGTAAAGTTCTGCTCTGCTTTCATCCTGAAAACTCAGAAATGAATAAGGCGTTACTGCTTGGGTGAACCCCAGAGGAACCTCCACAGCCATGTTGAGCCTTCCACCTGCACGGGCCTGGGGCCCCTGAGCTCCTTTGGGCTGCTTCTCTATGGAATATCATTGAGAAGGACAAAGGAAGCAGTAAGCTAGATTGAGGCCTCCAGGAAGTCTTTGAGTTGTAACAAAATACAACAAAGCCTTGATAGGCTCAAGAGGGAGGGAGGGAGGGAGGGAGGGAGGGAGGAGGCAGTGGAATTGGCAGGAGCCTTTTGCTGTGGTTCTGGCTGATTCTGTATCCTAGGCAGGGTTGGATGTGAGTGGCTCTTCCCCACATTTAAGAGTGAATAGGCAAGGTCAAAACCTACTTTTTAATTCATTGATTCCTAGTATGTTCCTCTTTGTGTTAAAAACTAGCAATTTGGCAGCAAATTTTCTGCTCCCTGAGATTTTGTGGGTCTGGGGTTTCTTTGTAGGGATTGCACGTATTGTGGAGACCCACCAGCCCATTGTGGAGACGTACTATGGACCTGGCAGGCTTTATGCTTTGATCAAGCATCTGCAGGCGGAATGTGACCAGCAGGTGGAGAAGGTGGTGGAGAAGTTCATCCAGCAGAGAGACTATCGTAGGCAGGTGAGAGCGGGAGGAGGGAAGGGAGGGAGGGAGAAAGGCTGGGTTTTCCAGGTGGATCTCCTGTGACTGGCTGGCTCTTGCTCTCAGGAGTGTGCGTGAAATGGAAAATAAATCTTGCTTTTTGTTAAGAACAAAGCCCCCTGCCTGGAATGTTCTTCAGAATGTTCCAGTTGAGCTGCACTGGGGCCGGACAAGCTAAAATCACCCTATGTGTTCCAGCAATGGGCAGCAGAGGGAATTCAGCCTGAGCCTTTGCTCCCTTGTTCTCCCACCCAGCATTACAGGAGCTATTCTGACTGTAACCCATAAAGAACTTCTACAGAATGAAGAGGAGCCACTTTTATTTTTATTTATTTATTTTATTATTCATATTTCTATGCCGCCCACTCTCCGAGGACTCTGGGCGGCTTACACCTAAGACAGTATACTAAATAGCATATTGCCCCCAACAATCTGGGTCCTCATTTTACTCACTCGGAAGGATGGAAGGCTGAGTCAATCTTGAGCCGGTGAGATTTGATCCGCTGATCTGCTGAACTAGCAGTCAGCTGAAGTAGCTGCAGTACTGCACCCTAACCACTGCGCCACCTCAGCTCTTATGTTGATGTTGGCCTTGGGCCCAATTGGGATCCTTGGTCCTGGGAAGCGGAGGGGCTTGTCCAGGCAGGGCGGGACTCTCAGCTGCCAAGGCCCAGCTTCTCAGGGTCCTCTGGGGTCTGAATCAGGCTCAGTGCAGTGGCTCCTGCACTTAAGAGATTGGTCCCGAGAGTGTTTCAAGTGTGGAAACTGTCCCATGTCTCAAGCCATCCTTTTAGCAGGGAGACTGGGGCAGTGTGGCTTCCCACAGGCAGCCTTTTGCAAAGCCCTTCGGCTTCCTAGCAGCTCCTGCAGCAAGAATCACACCTGGGCTAAGCAGGGAAAGGAAGCGGCTGTCAAGGGCGAGAGCCTGGGCTCTGATTTTCCGGGTTTGCCTCATCTTTGGAAGCTGCATGCCGGGCTGTGTCGAGACAAGAAAGGTGGCCGAGGGTTCTTGCTTCCAAGGCATTTGACAGCCTGCAGAGCTCTGCCTTTCCCAGAGCTGGACCTGCCACTTCCAGCCCTGTCAGTGAGTGCTCAGAGGGTCCTGGAAATGGGTTGGGCAGCAGCCAGGCCTGCTGTAGCTGGGATGTATCCCCTGCAGCCACTGCCTGCTTGGGCTTGCCCAGTAAAGAGAGGGGGGCCTGACAGCTCTTGTCTTCCAATGCTTGCAGTTCCAGCATGTTCAGAGCAGCGCGATGAGGAGTGTGGCGGGAGAAAAGATCGAACCAAGGTGGGGCACGTCTCTTTTTCTTTCAGGTGAAAGCAAGACAGGCTTTTTACTGGGGGAGGTTGGGATTTGCTGGGCAACAAAGTCTGCGTTGGGGTTTCTGACAACTTTATCGGACTGGCTGGCTGCTGATAGCCTCCCAGAGGGCTATCAGCCCTTCCACACAGGTGCTTGTCCTCCCTGGGAAAGTGAACCGAAAATGGTTGATGCAGCTTCCTCTGGGGTCTTTGGATGTCACCCCCGAGGAGTGTGACTTCCCTGGAAGCTTTGAGCTTCCCTGCTCGCTCTCTGAGCTGCACAAGAGAGGTCAGATTTGTGGAGATGAGTGACAGTTTTCCAGTCTGACTTGGGGATAAGTTAAAATTCTCCTTAGAGGATTTTGGTCCCAACATGGGCCAAAATCCATGGTATTCTTTGATACTTTGTTTAACAATATAATTTTTATTACACAAATTTTAAGAAAATAAAAATAATATAGATTTTGAAAGAAAAAAGGAAAGAAAGTAAAGCATTAAAGTGGAAAGGGGTAAAATGAAAGAAACAGAAAGGGAAAAGAAAAGAGAGAAAGAGTTATAAAGAAGAGCTTCCAGTTTTCTTAACAGCAATTACATTTATATTTTACGCTCTCTACAGTTACAGAATAGAATTAGAAATAGAATAGAATAGAATTCTTTATTGGCCAAGTGTGATTGGACACACAAGGAATTTGCATAGGCTCTCAGTGTACATAAAAGAAAAGATACATTTTTCAAGAATCATAAGATATAACACTTAATGATAGTCATAGGGAACAAATAAGCAATCAAATATTAGGAAACAGTCAATATAAATCGTAAGGATACCAGCAACAAGGTTACAGTCATACGGTCATAAGTGGGAGGAGATGGGTGATATGAATGATGAGAAAATTAATAGTAATGCAGTAATGCAAAACTAGTTTGACAGTATTGAGGGAATTATTTGTTTAAGAAGAGTGATGGCGTTTGGGGAAAAACTCTACTTGTGTCTAGTTGTTCTGGTGTGCAGTGCTCTATAGCGTCGTTTTGAGGGTAGGAGTTGAAACAGTTTATGTCCAGGATGTGAGGGGGTCTGTAAATATTTTCACAGCCCTCTTTTTGACTCATGCAGTATACAGGTCCTAAAGGCAGCTAGGTAGTAATTGTTTTTTCTGCAGTTCTAATTATCCTCTGATGTCAGAACCAAACCAGACAATTATAGGGGTGCAGATGACAGACTCAATAATTCCTTTGTAGAACTGTATCAGCAGCTCTTTGGGCAGTTTGAGTTTTCTGAGTTGGCACAGAAAGAACATTCTTCTTTGTGCTTTTTTGATGACGTTTTTGAGGTTAGGTGTCCATTTTAGGTCTTGAGATATGGTAGAACCTAGAAATTTGAAGGTCTCTACTGTTGATACTGTGTTGTCTAGTATTGTGAGAGGAAGGGTGTTGCTAGTATTATGGAAGGGTTTCTCCTAAAGTCTACCACCATTTCTACGGTTTTGAGTGTGTTCAGTTCCAGATTGTTCTGGTTGCACAACGAGACTAGTTGTTCAACCTCCCATCTGTATGCGGATTCATCATTGTCTCGAATGAGACCGATCACTGTTGTGTCATTTGCAAGCTTCAGTAGTTTAACAGATGGATCGTTGGAGATGCAGTCATTGGTATTGAGAGAGAAGTGGGGAGAGCACACAGCCTTGGGGGGGTTGTAATTGTACAGGTATCTGATGTGATTTTGCTTAGCTTCACCTGCTGCTTCCTGTTTGTTAGGAAGCTTATGATCCACTTACAAGTGTGTTCAGGTACCGCTAGCTGGTTTAGCTTAGTTAGAAGAATGTCTGGAATGATGGTATTGAATGCTGAACTAAAGTCTGCAAAGAGGGCCCTTGTGTAGGTCTTTGGAAATTCAAGATGTTGTAGGATGTAGTGCAGAGCCATATTACAGCATAAGTTCCTTCTTTCCATAGTCTTTCTAACCATCAAATCCCTACACATGTTCATCTTTTTCTTTTTTCAGCAAAAAGTCCATAAGGGTTTTCAGTCACTAATAAATGTAGTTATTGATCTTTCTCTTATCAAACATGTCAGTTTTACCATCTCTGCTAGTTCTATCATCTTCACCAGCCATTTCTCTATTGTGGGTATTTCAGAGCCTTCATTTCTCTAACCATGCAACAATTGTCTTATGTAAATGTTCTCCAGCTCTTTTCTGATTTATTTATCCATTAGTCCCAGCAAGTGGAGTTCTGGTTTCTGTTCTTTGATACTCCTATTTATTTCTGTTATGTTCAGTTGTTGGGAAAATCTGCACAGGAGTGTCTGGCTGTACGCAGAATCAGCTAGCCATTTCTTTGCCTCTGTGTCTCTTGTGAGAACTGAAAGAGCACTTTCAGCAGAGCTATGCAGAAGTGCCAGGAAGAAAACTGAAGGCAGCCAGACGTCCTGCCCAGATGACTCATTGTTGGAGATTCTGGTTTAGCAGACGTGGTTCAGTGTTCCTTTTCTCTAGCTGACCCTTGCTTTGCTTCTCACAGGGAGCTTGACCCTATTTTAACCGAAGTCACTTTGATGAATGCCCGCAGCGAACTCTACTTGAGATTCATCAGGAGGCGCATCACCTCTGACTTTGAGGTGGGAGATTCTGTGGCCTCTGAGGAGGTGAAGCAAGGTAAAACGCAGGTGTTTGCTGGAGAGCCAGGTGCAAAGGCTTCCTTCCTACAGCTCAGAATCTGTGATCATCTGCTCTTTAGCAGTGAAAGTGGAAACACTCCCCTCCCCACCAGGCATGACGTGAGAAAACCTATAAGGAAATAAACCCTGCCACCCTGGCACAGAGGTTGCTTCTTTGTGTCTGAGAGAAAGCAGGCATCCAGGTAGGCCTTGACTAACACCCAAATGGAACCCAGAATTTTGGTCATAAGTTACTGCAGTTGTAAGTCGCACTGCATGACCGGATTCGCTTTTGCGACCATTTTTATGATAAGCAAACCATGTGGTGGTTAAGCAAATCCAGCACATTCAGTGGGTGTTTTGTACCATTTTCTGCCAGAAAATGGCAAAAACTGTTGTAAAATGTCATGTGACTGGGACAATGTCATGTGACTTGCAACGGATCGTAAATGCAAGCCATTTGTTAAGCACCCAAAATTCAATTGTGTGCGGCAGTTTGTAGCTTTGAGGGCAGGTTTGTAGTTAACTTTCTTGTAGTACAAACATTTGAGTGGCTTGTTAATTAGTCAAGGACTGTATATAATGGATGACCTTGGAGAAAGGAGCTGCTGCTGCCTAGGAAGCCATTGGAGAAGAGGGGCAGGAAGAGCAATCCTGGAACAGTCAAGAAAGACCCAGCCTCATGGGTCTTGCAACTCTTCAGCCATCCCAAGCAAACCAGAAAGGAAACATAACCAGACAAGGGAGATGTGTGATTCCTAAATATGACAAAATAATAAAATAATAAATCTTTATTGTAAGGCTACATTGACAGAATCTTGCAAATCTGAAAGGACAAACTTCCCGCCCCCTCTTTTCATTGCCAGCTCCATCAGGGCAGATCCATCCTTCGTTTCTTTCTTTGAACCTGGGCAGCGTCTCTCCCCCCTTTCCTCAAGGTCAGCCATGCTTCCATTACATCATCTCTACTCCCCAGCTATTACAAAAACAGCTGTCCATAAAATTTAATAGTATAACATTTCACCTGATTTTTATGAAAGTTGGGTTTTCACATGTTATATCATAATGTGGATTGTATGTATGGTGTGAATTCAAATATTGAGGGTCATAAGCCATGGTTTAGTTTAGTGCAACACAGGGTTGCCTACAGTCTAGAAAGCAGATATGTACTCTCTCTCTCTCAAGAAACCTTCATATCTGTCTTCTTATACTTAGTTTTACTGTACAGGTAGTCCTTGATTTACAACTGATTGCTTAACAATGGTTTAATTTAACAATAGCCTATGAGGGTGTCAGTTATGAACTAAATTTAACTTTGTGATCATCACCCTGCCCCTTTATGATCATGTAGTTGCAATTCAGGTGCTCAGCAATTGACTTGCATTTATAACCGGTTACCGAATCCTGTGGTCATGTAATCAAGAATTGCAACATTTTTTGCCGGTCTCCATAAAAAAGTGCCACTGGTTAAACTGGAATCACATTTACACCCCTGTGACTCAACTTATTCTTGTCCCATTTGTGGTCATAAATTGAGGACTGCCCCCCCCCCCCATAGGACTGAATGTTTTGTAAGCTGTTATTGTATCAGACATTGCGTAAAAATGTATTCATTATCGATATTAGCCACAGTTCCACCCAATCTGTAAGTAGACTCCCATTATTTTAGCCATCAGGAGTGCCAGAAACTGTCCCAACTTGGTCAGTTAGGAAAGAAAGACCCCTTGGCCCATGATTAGCCAAAAGTATACTTTACTAAAGACAAGGTGGTTACAGAAGAAGCAAAGCTGGATCTGAGGTTTTAATGCTCAAAAGATAGTTAACATTCCCTTGCTCCTGGCCAGCCCCCCTGGTTATCAGTCAATGTCCAATCAGATGTTAACAATTTGTTTGGGGAACTGAGCCAGTACTGTATTCTTTTGGTGTACCTCTGAGTCCCCTCCCTGCCTCTCTATCCCCCACTGCTCCTTCCCCCCATTACTGATGTCAGGCTGTTAGCTTATGGTGCGTAGTTAAGCAGAATGGCAGCCACGACAGCCTCCTTTGCATGAGAATGGGCCGGCTGGGAAGTGGCAGCCCTTGCAATAGCTCTTTCATCACCACCACCACAGCCCCCATTCAGATGTGGGAATTGCAGTGGGGCTGGCCGCAGTTGCCCTTGCATGCCGGGACTCCTCCTGTCCTTTCCACATGTCTGGCCTTTCCTGCCTTTGGTGCCGCAACCCTCATTCCTCAGTGGCAAGATTGGCCACAGATGCCTTTTAATATAGGGAGGTGTGTGGGGAGGTACCATAGTTTTCGGACTATAAGACACACCTAGCTTTTGGGGAGGAAAACAAGAAAAAAAATCTGCCTCTGCCTCCCAGCAATTTGCCTACTTGCAGCAAACAGCTTGGTTAGCTTCAGCACAGCCTGATTTAGCACGAATAGCTGATTGACGGTTGGATCAGCCTCTCTATCAGCTGTTCCAGACTGAGGGGATCGCCACCACCCATTGCCACCGTCGCTGCCCATCGCCGCTGCCACCTCCGCGTGCCCCATTTTTGGCCTCTGCATGCCCAGTTTTTGGCCTGTTCCAGGTGGCTGCAATTGCGGGCCAAAAATGGGGTGCATGGAGGCCAAAAATGGGGCGCACAGAGGCCAAAAATGGGGCACACAGAGGTGGAGATGGGCGGTGGCGATCGCCGCAGTCTAGAACAGCTGATAGGCGGTATTCCAGGAGGCCGATCCAACCACCAATCAGCTGCTCTTGCTAAATCAGGCTGTGCTGAAGATGACCTTGCTGTTTGCTGCAAGGAGGCAAATTGCTGGAAGGCAGAGGCCAAAGGGTGGGGGCCAAAGGATGGGCGGGGCTTTGGCAACATTCACTCTATAAGACGCACAGACATTTCCACCTACTTTTGGGAGGGGGGGTGGAGTGTGTCTTATACACTGAAAAAGGTGCCTCACCAGCAGCTGAAAAATGGTATTAAGTGCATCACCAGAGATTTTCTATCTGGAGCCTTTGCAGCTGTATCTCTTCGGTATCTATTGACCTCTCTGGTAGTAGCTGCAAAGAATTTAAGTCTCCTTAATTCAGGATTTTGATTACATCTTTTTCACCTTTGTGCAAGTCCCGCTTCTATCATTTTCAAACCATTCTGCTGTTTCTTAATCGTTGTGGTTCTGCTCCACAGAGCACCAGAAGTGCCTGGACAAACTGCTTCACAATTGCTTTCTGAGCTGTGCCATGCAAGAGTTGATTGGCTACTATATCACCATGGAAGAATACTTTATGAGAGAGACTGTGAATAAGGTAGGTGTCACGTTCTGGTGTCCTGCGTAAGAAAAGCCAGCAACACAAGTTGATGTTAGATTGTTTATCTGGAAATGTGGACCCAGCATGAAGTGACCATCCAAAAGGAATCAAAGTTTATACTACCATGGTTAGCTCACCCGCCCCTTAAATTGTGCCCCACCTCCCCTGTGTGCGCCTCTCCCACCGACCACTTAGATGGCCTTCAGAGTCCGGCCATGCCCCTATCCGCCCATCCTGGCTCATCCTGCCTGGCTTCCTGCTGCTGCCCATGCTCCGACAATCAGCTGTTTTCCTGATCTAACGAACAAGTGTTTTTCATTGAGCCGGGTACAGCCAGTGTTCCGCTAGCCAGGCAGCAGCTCCGTGGATGCAGGAGTGGTCAGCCAGTCAAAGTCTGGGGGCCCCTAGCCAAGCAGCAGCTCATGGATGACGGAGCCAAGTGATGCAGGTCTCTCGGGTGGCGGCTCCATGGCGGCCTGGCCGTTGCTGGCCATGCACGTCATCACTCCTCCACCTGAATGGCAGCCTCGGCCCATCTGGCAGTCCGGAGCTGACAGTAGGAAGAACTGCCTGGAAGTTCCCATCTGTTCTTCCCTTCTTGGATGGAGCAGGCCATCTCAACAAACTCAGTTGCATGGCTGAGTCCCATGGAGGGTCCATTTCTTGCATGGAAAGCCCAGTGGGAAGGAAACAGCCTTCGGCTGGGCCAGTGTAGAGTAGCCTTATCAACCTTGACTGCGCCAACCATCCAAGCTTCAGCCGGAAGTTTTTCCAGCTTGTTTTTCCAGATGAAAGCCAGATTCTCTCGGCTGCAATAACTAGACTCTCTACTTAAGAGTTTCTCAGTTTCCCATAGTGGTGGTTTGGCTTACCAATGGTGGTTTAATTGGCAAAATTTAACAGAGTTTGAATCAAGCTATAGCTGAGCGGAGTAAACTGTGATGATAATAAGACCAGTTTGACATTTTCTGCTGAGGAGAGAGATCTTTCACTGTCTTGTCTTCAGAAACAGCAAAGTTTGGAAGCCAAGTGCTAGGTCTCCCTGAGTGCTTGAGTAGAGCCAGTGTTTGATGGGTTGACAAGCCCAGAGTAAATTATGAATGCCTGTTGGCTTTTCTGCTAGGCTGTGGCCATGGACACCTGTGAGAAGGGTCAGCTAACCTCAAGCATGGTGGATGATGTTTTCTACATTGTGAAGAAATGCATCGGGAGGGCTCTTTCCAGTTCCAGCATCGACTGTCTCTGTGCCATGATCAACCATTCCATCACTGAGCTTGAGTCAGAGTTCAGGTAGGTGGTGGGGAAGGACAACTTGTGGAGCTCTTGTGGGAACCTGAGGAGGTTCTGCTAAATTTCGTCTAGGCCTCTGTAAAAAAGACATAAGCTGCTCTTTGGACTGCGTGGACTTCATAACTGTTGCACACAATCAGAACAGATTTGCAAATGTGGAGGCTGAACTAGGACCTCCAAAAGGTTGGAGGAGATGATCTCCAAAAAACCTATGATCCCATGACTTTGAATCATGAAATTAAGGATTGGAGGGAAGTCTGACAAGTGAACTGTGCACACTGTTTCAGATTAAATTTACTTATTGGAACGTTCTGAGTTTGAAATAAACTATAGATGCATGGATTCCACTATTTCCTGCTCCTGATGGTTTGGGATGGACTCTTCCTGCATCCAAGGGCAGAATTTATGTCACACAAGGGTGGGCGGCAAGGAGCTTGCTTTGCTCTGCAAATCCTGCACAGCACTCTTAGCAGTGAAGCCAGTGTTGCTTTCTTAGTCAAAGTCGGGGGGGAGGGGGGTTGCAACTTGAAGCCCTTGGTCCTGCCTCCTTCCTGCGAAAGAAGTTGGCTCCCTGAATCTCCAGCATTCTTTCTTGAGGTTGTCTTCTTTCTACAGGGAGATCCTGGGCCACAAGCTGCGGATGGGCTTCCCGGCCACCCCTTTCCAGGATTTCCAGAGGGGAGTGACCAGTGCCGTGAGCCTCATGCAGAGCAGCCTGCAGCAGGGGAAGTTCGACCCTAAAGGCATCGAGAGCACTGATGAGGCTAAGCAATCCTTCCTGGTGCGTTGTCTGGTTGGGGAACTGGAGGGGGCAGTGCCTGGATTGGAGAGAGAGGCAGAGGGTCTCCTAGAGAGCTAGTATGGCTGGGTTGAGGGCCAAGCAAAGTGGGCTGTTGGAAGCACCAACATAGCGTCATTCGTTGGAGAAGAGAGGTCGAAATGCTTGTCTTATTCAAGTACCTGGCATACAGTTAATTTCTGTTGAGGAGGAAAGGAGGTTGAAATGTTGTTTCACAAGGAAGAGCCCACTGGTTAGGTCTTATATTGAGAGGCAGCAAAGGAGCAGGTGGATAGGGGGTAGCAGGTCTTTGCGTCAAGAGGCAGCCCCGCATGCCAAGACCTGGGCCTGATGATCAAATGCATGGAATTCTCTTTGCAGTAGTTTCCTCCAAGGAAGTGGGCCTGGCCTGCAGGGCTGGTGGAAATGGAAACGCCTCCCTGCCTTTCTCCATCTGTTGGGCCAGTCTCTTTCCTTTCCTGGATGGGGAGCAGCCCGATGCCGGGTTTTAAGAGTCAGCTGGGTCTGAGGAAAAAGGAAGTTGAGGATCAGGTGCCTGATCCGCTTCCCTGGCAAATGAAACCTTCCTTCGTGTTCTCCTGGCTCCCTCCTCCTGTGTGCCAAGTTCCTTCCTCAGAGGAGCAAAGACTGAAGTGCTGAGCTTGGCGACCAAGGCCCTTTTGGCATGGCTGCTCTTAAAGGTTAGAAAAGATGCTGACCATTCTGCTTACTCTGTTTCAGGTGACTTTAAACAACGTGGAGGCCTGCAGCGAGAACATAATGACACTGAAGAAGACCCTGGAGGTACTTGTGGGCTCTCAGCTCTTGGCTGGAAGCAGCATGTCTTGATGTTGCTGTGTGTTTGTGTGATTCAAATCCATCTTGGGGCTAAGTTAATACACTAATTCATAGAACCACTTCATCTCAACTAGAAGTCTGGCTTTATTTTGGGAGGTCCTGCCTGGCTTATTCCAAAGATGGGTACCCAAAGAAACCAGGATATAAACCATCTGCTGAGTTTGGAGCAAGGGGTTGTGATGCCTGGCCGGGAGGCCACGTCCAGAGACTTAGACTGTATGGGAAATGGGAGGAAGAATTGAGCAGCGAGAGAGCCTCCCTGCGGCTGGGCTGCTGCCTCACCTTCTCTTGATGTGCTTCATTTCCACCAGACTTGAGGTCTTCCTTCTGCAGAGCGATTCTTGTTTGCAGCTGGATTTCTGCTTCCCCACAGAGCGACTGTTCGGAGCTCCTCAGCCAGGGCTTTGGAGGAGAGCAGGCTCGGCTCAAGCTGGAGAGCTGCCTTTCGGACATGGACACCGTCTCCAGCAAATTTCGTGACCTGCTGCAGGTGAGCTTTGGACCTTTGGAGCATTGCCTGTCCCAAGGCCTCCAAGGAGGAAGTGAAGGAGGGCAGCATCCTTACCTGGCAGGAGGTGAGCTGCTTGGGGCTGCAAGGGGAGCTTCTCTTCCACTCCCCCACATTTTGCTGAGCGCTTCTCCGCTTCAGCTTAGAGAGATGATACCATTATTGAAATATGAGCAGCTTCTCTTCGCCCAAAGGCTGGGACCCCCTGGGGTCTGCACCTTTGCCAGGATCAGCTCCCAGGTGGCTGCCGTGTATAGGGGAGGGAGGAGACCTAATGAGGGGCTGCTAACTGACCCTTGTTCTCTCTCAGGAAGGCCTGAATGAACTCACCAGCTCAGCAGTCAAACCGCATGTGAAGCCCTGCATTAACCTCTTCCTGTCTGTATCCCACAACATCGAGGAGGTGAGTGCACAGCCCTTGTTTGCTTGCTTGCCTGAATGCAAGAGGCTGGAGAAACGGGGCGGGGGGGGGTTGTTTTCTTTTGAAGACTCAACTGGGGCTATATAGGGGAGAAGATGTGGAATCGGAATGCTGGTGGGGGAGAGATAGCTTGAATAAGACATATAGTTGTCATTAAGTAAAATATGAACAGCCCAGAAAGGCTGAGGAAGAATCTCAAGATTCTCCTCCTTGACTCTCTTTGGTGTAAGAGGGAGGGAAGGGGGCATGTCGAAAGGCTTCTGAGGTCTCGGTGCAGCAGAGTTCCAATATCGCTTGTGGTGTCTGTTCCCTTACCTGGCCTAACTGAAGAGCTGATGAAGAAGCCAGAGGAGGAGAACAGAAGCGGCCTGGAGGCTCACTTTTCCTTGGGGTGTGGGACTTGCCAGTCAAGTGCCATCCTTGCAGTGGACTCCCTTTCTGCATGCAGAGTTTCTTCCTTCAGCATCTCCCCAGGGAATAGCCCTGCTGCCTCCCAGGCCCCCATCCTTTGTTTCCTCTCTAAGCGGGCACAGAAGCAGCAGGAGGCAGGCCTGGGGCTGGCAAGCCTTTGCCAGGCCGTCCGACTCTTCGGAAAGCCTCTGGAGGAGTAGCCTTGAGCAAGCCAGGCCTCTTTTATGCGGCTGAGCCCATCAGTCCCATCCTTTTGCTGTACCTGGCTTCAGTGAAAGCAGAATTGTTGTAGTGCCTCTGAGAAAGACGTGACACGCCAGCTGGAGCCACCATCAGCACCCCGGTACTCAAGGGAGGCAGAGGAAGGGAACATTTTGTAGAGAGACCAGCTCTGTTCTCTGCTGCTCTTTCAGGAAGAGTTTAACGACTATGAAGCCAACGACCCCTGGGTGCAGCAGTTCATTCTTAACCTGGAGCAGCAGATGGTGGAGTTCAAGGTAGGTTCGAGGCACGAGTTGGCAGGGAATTCCTCAAAGGGGAATTGGCCCCTTTGGCACATAGGCATTGGTCAGTTCAAGGAGAAGGCAGCTGTCCCACTGCCAATGAAAGGGCCAGGGCACCTATTCCCTTGGCAGCTTTTTCCCTGGACACAGGGAACGGAGGCATGCCTGACACCAGCCTTCTCTCTGGACAGGGGCTGGGTGGAAGCATTGTCCCCCTGGCCTGCCTTGGTCTGCTTCTGGCAATAGTGCCATCCTGAACCAAGTCCTTCTCCCCTCTCTGCAGGCAGGACTGTCCCCTGTGATCTACGATAGCCTCACCAGCCTGATGACCAGTCTAGTTGCTCTGGAGCTGGAGAAGGTTGTTCTCAAGTCCACCTTCAGTCGGGTAAGATGGGGTAGAGTGTGGCAGTAAAGCCAACCTGCAGATCGATTGCAAGACATGTCAGCATTAAAATCTGAGTCTAATTATTTATATGTAGAATAACTTCAAGTAACTTCAAACAAAGTGCCCCATCTTCTGCATGGCAGCTTTCCTTTTCTCCACTTCCCAGTCCTTTGGAGTGTTCATTTCAGTGCTGGGATAATTAGCAAAAGGAAATTATTGTTTGAATTTACATTCACTCAAAGTTTTACAAGAGAGTAAACAGGCACAGAATGAGGAATACACTAGATTGTTTGCATAGCATGGTAACAGCTGCCAGCACAAGCACATTGCTTTCTATGTATATTCTCCATTGTGTGCCTGCTTACTCTTTTGTCATCCCTTCCTCTCCAGTCTCTCCATTCTGGAAAGGAGGAAGAAAGAAAAAAAAATCAGGTCAGGTGTAGGATAAAACATATTGACTGTAATGGCAGTCATGAGACTGAGGGATACTGCAGAGCTCATAAATGGAGGCATAAGTTGTAAAATTATCTTTTTAGCACTGTCATATCTTCAGTCACTGAACAAAGCAGTTGGTAACTGAAGTCTAGCTGTACTTCAGAAACAAACTGTTTGGTCAGTGTTCAACCTGTGATCCACTGAGACAATCGGGTCTTTTTCACATCTGCTGCTCATTGTGTTCCTTCCACCAGTCCTGTTTCATGCTTTTGATTTTGTTCTGCAGAAATGTAGGACTTTGTATTGTCCTCATTCAAGTCCTTTAGAATCTTGATACCGGCTACTAAGGTGTTTGCTGTCCCCACAATTTTTGGGGTAGGTTGTTCCTCTATCCTCCATATCACAGTAGTATAATTTAGCCAGTTTGCCATCTTCTCTACTAAAACCACAAAATACCCTACAACTCACATTCCCATGGTCTGCTAAACTGGTTATAATGGATTCTTGATAAACAAACTCCTGCTGGTTTCTGACAAGTAATACATACTTCTCTGTTTAGCAACTTTTTATTACTTGCTCAAGAGTTTTGAGTAAGAATATCATGCTGACAATCCATAGTTGCTTGGGTTTGTTTTTTCCTCAACACTTTCCTTCTCCAATAGCATTTAGACTTATCTACCGCTTCAGAGTGCTTTACAGCCCTCTACAGAGTCAGCCTCTTGCCCCCAACAATCTGGGTCCTCCTTTTACCGACCTGGGAAGGATAGAAGGCTGAGTCAACCTATGGCCCCTCAGGATTGTACTCCTGGCAGTGGGAATGCAGAGTTAGCTGCAATGCTGCATTCTAACCCTGTGTCACCACGGCTCCTCAATGCTCTGACCATCTGCTTGTCCTCCATGAGATCACAGAAGGGGTCAGCGAGATGACACCCTGGTCTGGCCTTAAAGAGTCCAAACGGATTCCTGGTCACTGTGTGTGTGTGGTTTTTGTTGTTGTTGTTGTTGTTGCCACTCCTTTCTTCGCTCAGTTGCTCTTTCTGGTCCATTGCCACATTGGCTCTTCTGAGGGGAGGATTAAAGCAAAACAGGAACTGAAGGGCTCTGCTGCAACTGCGAGAATCCTCCCATCTTCTCCATGGCATCTTGTCTAGGACTTTCCTAACTTTCTTGAAAGGGATCCCTTGAGATCTCGTGTCTTCCAATTCCAGTATGCTCCCTACCTCCTCTGATCCCCAATGCCTTTCCCTTTTCTACCAGCTCTTGCTTATCAGTTAAGATCCAATCTAAAAAAAGGTGATCCCCTTGTCTCTGTTTCTCCTCTTGGAGAAGTCTAGTCCAGGATCTGCCTGGCTTAAATGCCTCCCCAGATCCCCACCACGTTCTTTATCATTTCTCCTTCCTCAACTGGGCCCAGGAATACCTGGATTCCAATCCAAGGGCACCTCTTCTTCAGATCTGCTGCTGCTGCTCTTCCCCTTTCATCTCTTGCTTTGGGATGAGCTGCTCCTTCAGTCTTTACATCCCACTCCTGAGTTTCACTCCGCCATTTATTCAGTAAGGTACTACATCACTTGCTTCCCACATGATGACTTGGGTTCTGCCTGTTTGTGCTCCTTATTCTGCTTGTTGGCATCTTTGGATTGTGTAACTTGGCCAGTTCTTTTCTGTATGCTGTGAGCCAGGTGTAGTGCAGCTGTGTGAGGGGAATACCTGCTGGGCAAGAGTGGAGGAGTGGCTGGCCAGATGACGATGCCTACAGCAGAGACCCCTCCTTTGGCAACCTGGAGCCTCTGCCTCTTATCGAATAGTCACAGTGCACCACCGGCAAGCCTTGGCCCTCTGAGGGCTTCTTCCCTGCTCTTAGTCCTAAGAGAGGAATGGGGAGGAAGAGGTCCAGCTTGCCTGCCTGCTTGGGAAAAGAGGCTGGGTTAGGGCTGGGAATCAATCTGGCTTTGGAGAGCCCCTTGTTTGAGTGCTTGTGGAGCGTGTTTACTGACTCCTGCCACAAAGGGCCAACACAAGAATGCTGTTGAGATGGATGGACGGGCAGCTCAGGGTGGGTGAAGCCAATGGGTGACAGAGTCAGGGGCTCTCTGGAAGTGGGCCTTTCCCCGAACTTCCCTGCTAGGTGGAATTCAGAGGTGAATCCATTCCAGGAGGTTCTGCTGGGGCTGGGATGGGCGTCTCATGCCCAGATGCTGGTTCAGCCATGCTTTGCCACTTTCTGTCTCCTCAGCTTGGCGGGCTGCAGTTTGACAAAGAACTGAGGTCCCTGATAGCCTACCTGACTACAGTCACCACCTGGACCATTCGTGACAAGTTTGCCCGGCTCTCCCAGATGGCGACCATTCTCAATCTGGAAAGGGTGGGCCCTCCAGATTTTACTCCCGAGGCAGGGCAACCGGGGGGGGGGGGGCGGAGGCGGAGCATAGCCCCATCCCAGACGGACCAAAGACAAAAGCAGGCAGGGCAGCGGCTCTGCTGCCTTCCAGATGCCAGGCCGGTGCTGTCCGGTCCTCTGCCAGATGGGCAGACAGTATTTTCCTCTCTTTTCAGGTAACGGAGATCCTGGATTACTGGGGACCCAATTCGGGCCCTCTGACGTGGTGCCTGACGCCAGCAGAGGTCCGCCAAGTGCTGGCCCTCCGGATGGATTTTCGCAATGAAGACATCAAACGGCTGCGCCTGTAGCCATCAGAGAGGAGCTTCCTTTTTTAAAAATGTGTTGCCTCTTCCTGCCAGGAGTGGCTACTAAAGCAGATAGAAGCTCAGCCGCTCACCTTTTTGCTAGGAAAAATGGGACGCTGTTTTGTTGAAAAGTGGAAGTAGGAACATTTTCCTCTCAGCAACCTCAACTAAGTTTAGGCCTCTTACTTAGCTGCGTTTGTGCAAGATGGTTGCCCAGCATCCCGGGCTTGGGACGGGCTGTCAATTCATGGCAGCCTCCTAGAAAAAAGGTTCCCTGGACCACGATTAAAGGGCCCCGTCCTCTTGGGGTTTGGCCCAGGGCTTGGCTCTCGGCTGTGGTTGGTGAGTTTGGCCTGAGCTTTGGCCAGAGCGGCCTCCTGGAACCTTTCATGGGTGCCGGGACTCAAGAGGCCAACACGGAGATGACCAAATCAGCTGACAGACCCAAAGGAATTTAAAATAAACATGCTAATACCATAATGCTGTTTTAACAAGTTGACAGTGTTCAGGTGTGGAAACAACGCTTGAATAGCTGAAATGGGCAACTTACAGAGTTGGTTTCTCGGTTTGGGCTTTCTGTTGAGGAGAAAAGAGGGAAGACAGGATATTGTCTTCCAATATTTGAGGGGCTTCCCATAAGGAAGAGGGGGTCAACCAAAGCACCTGAAGGCAGGACAAGAAGCAACAGATGGAAACTAATCAAGGAGAGAAGCAACCTAGAACAATGGAACGACTTGCCTCCTGGAGTTGTGGGTGCTCCATCATTGGAGGCTTTTAAGAAGAGACTGGACAACCCCTTATCTGGAGTGGCCGTGTCTCCTGCTTATGCAGGGGGTTGAACTAGAAGACCCCGAAAGTCCCTTGCAACTCTGTTATTCTGTTAATAACTCTAATTGGGTGTGGGCAGGCAAGATGAAGACCATAAGCTTAGGTGACTGAAACAAGATTGGGCCAGTTCACAGAGGAGGAACCAGTTGCCAGCAGTCGTTTCCCTCCAGGAAGGAAAAGGGGGCGCCTTTAATGCCAAGATAACCACCCCCGCTGCCCTTGGCTATCCTGCCTCGGGCTTGTGGTTCCAGCTTGCAGAAGCAAAATGCCATGTTAGGCAAGTCTCCAGTCTGATCTAACTGGCCTCTGGCTGACTCTGGCTTAGCTATTGCAGCTGGAACATCGTGAGGAGATACTATAGATAGGTAAACCTATTACTGAGACATCAGGACAGGGAACCATGGCTTTAAACAGGAAGCAGATTTTGGTGGAAGAATTTCCTGCGGACTGGAGCCGTTTGCTAGTGAGGATATGGTGAATTGCTCTCTTCAAGCAGAGGCTGGATGGCCATTGGTCAGGGATGTTGAAATGGGAAATTCCTACGCTGGGCAGGGGTTTGGCTAGATGATCTCCAAAATCCCTCTGATTCCATGAACAGAACTCTGTGGAATTGTGATTCTGTGGATACTGTTAACAGTAGAATCAAGGTTTGAAAGGGCCTCGAGGGTTGTCGGAACCGTCCCTCTGCTCAGTGCAGGCCTCGGTTTTGAGACCTCCAGTCAAGAGAGCATCAACCACCTTGGTGGCTGATGGCTCTGGTGATTTCTCCTGACCCCCACAGCAGTTCAAAACTGGGAACAGGAAACAGATTTTCCTACTCTGTTGGTTCCCATCCTGCCCTTCCATTGCCCCAGAGCGGCCTCCTTCCTCTGCTTCGTGATGACCCATCAATCCAGGGGTGAAATCTAAAATTTTTTGCTACCGGTTCTGTGGGTGTGGCTTAATTAGTGGGCGGGGCTTGGTGGTAAGGTGACTAGGAGGGTGTGGCCAAGTCAATGTCATTTCTTTGCCCTTTTTTAACCTACAAAACACAACACAACTGGCTCACCCACAATGTAAAAGCAGCTGTGCTAGACCCAAAATGGCCCCTGCAACAAGCAGGAACCTCACACAGCCACAAAAAGCCCGAAAAAACAACTTTCACACTTTACACAGATAAAATTCCACATACAGCTTTGTAAGATTTTGTGTGTTTGTGTAGTTAGAGTGAAACACTACAGAAACACACTAAATCTCAGAAAGCTGCACAAATATTTTATTTTTATTTTTATATAAACAGCTAAATTTAAAACTTCCTAAACTTTAAATGGCTAAATCTAAAAAAAAGAACAACTAAAAAAACCCCCAATTAACTATTTTTTTTAAAGCTCCCAAAGGGGAAAATACCCAATAGAACAGGGGTCTCCAACCTTGGCAACTTTAAGACTTGTGGACTTCAACTCCCAGAATTCCTCAGCCAGCTTTGCTGGGAGTTGAAGTCCACAAGTCTTAAAAGTTGCAGATAGAGCTGCTCACCGATCAGCTTGATTGCAGGCAGGGAGATCCAGTTGCTTGCTGATGCATGGATTGCGATCGTCATGCGATCAGCAGCTAAGGTAAGCAAGCTGGAGGCTGGGGGGGGAGAGAAAAAAACTTTTTTTCTTTTATATGGCTCTGGCGATCCAAGCTGAGCTGCCTGATTAGCAGGCAACTCAGCTGGGATGTCAGAGCTTGGCTGGTCAGAGCCATTTAAAAGGAAAAAAAGACTGATGATCGCGGGGGCCAGCTGGGCATGGGGGGCGGGGGCAGGGATTTTTGTTATCGGTTCTCCGAACTGCCTGCCACCATCGCTACCTACTCGCCCGAGCCGGTCCGAACTGAGAGCATTTCATCCCTGCATCAATCCCCCTTTGTGTCTTCTTCCACAGCTAAATGTAGCCTGTTGTCTTAGTAGCCCCTTCTCTGAAGAAGCTCTGCGTTTAAAATATTTCTTTTGTTGGTGCGGATTCAAAAGGGGGGCGGGATTTGTTGTATTTTACTTTTCTAAATGAAAAAACAAGGTCCCAGGCCCTCACTTGAAAGGTTACTACAAGAGCAATTTTCTCTTCTCTTGCCTGCAACATCTGACCATTTGGCTGGGACAGGACCTGTTGCAGCTGTGCCTCAGGGGGTCTCAGTTTATGATGTGTCTGTCCTAGTATGCTCCAATTTCTGAAATTACAAGCAATGTATTTGCTACTTTGAATTTTAAAATGCACCAGACCCTCATTAGCTCTTAAGAAAACCAGTGCAACCTTTATTTTGTAATTGCAAATGAATAATTGTGGGTGTTCACAGCCAGTGCACTGCTTGCTTTGGGGACCCATTTGTGTGGAAACTGCTTAGATTTGCCAGGCTGAATGTTGCTTGCCTCATACAATGGATGCAGTCCTGCTGCTTTCACCTCTTTCCAAGAACTTCGTCCCACCGTTTGCTTGATTGGGATCTGCAACATAGCAGAGCCGGTTCTTCATCCCTGCCCTGCAGCTGGTTCCTGCAACCTCTTCGTGGTGGTGGAGCAACAGAGGAGGGAATTGCTCTTTCACGCCTCTAACGTATGTGTGTCCCCCAGAAGCTCCACCTTGAATCCCGCTGGGTCCACTTCCACAGTGTGGATGGTGACATTTCCAAGGACCTGAAAGGGACATGTGGATAAACAAGCTTTGAGCTGAGCATCTTCTGCGATTCCTGCCTTCGTGGCTCTCAGGCAGCTGGAGGGAGTGGTCTTCCTGTCCCTCCATGGGGGAAGCCCTTGACCTCACTCCACCCAGTCACCCCCATACATTAGGAGGTTTCTGTGTTGATCTCCCTATCGTTCCCAAGCCTGCAGAGGATTCCTCTTCCTTGGAGGAGCTGTCCAATGCGGGGATTGTGTTCACCTACCGCAGCTTCTGCCAAGATCTCCTGCAAGGCCACCCGGTTCCTGGGTTCTTTGGTTACCAGACAGAGGAAGCCCCCACCACCAGCTCCGGCCAGGCTCTGCCCATAGACGTGGGGCTGGAGCACCTCCATGATCTGCCGGACCAGCAGAGGCTCGCAGCCAGGGGCCATCTCCTTCTTCTGCAGCCAGTACCGATTCATACACTGGCCCAGCAGAGCCAGGTTGCCTGGAAGGAGAAGGGGAGGAGGATGGCAGCACCCCCCAGCTGCTCTCTGGAGAACAGGCGTCCAAGCACCCCTGCAGCACTAAGATCAATCTGCGCATCCTGCCTGGGACACACTGTGATCACTCTGCTTGGCTGTCCTCCCTTTCGAGATAAAGACTGGAGGGAGGGACAAAGAGGGCCACCATCCAACTCCTGGGTGTTGACTCTTAAGAGAATGGGGTATCTATGGGTTGTTCCCCTGGCTCCCTTCCCCAGCCAGATGTCGGCCGCCTCCTTCGCTGAAGATGGCTCTTTGGATTGTGTATGGGCAGTTTATTCTTCCTCCTTGTTTTCAGCTGTTGCTTTTTAACCAATTTGGTAAAGGGGTCACTTATTTTGCAATTCCTCAATTGACAACCCTCAAAGCCTTTATGAAACTCCAAACCGTGCGGCAGGGTCTCTTCCACAAGCACATTGACACTCGCCCACTGTCAAAATGTCGGGGTGTCCTCCAGCCATTCCCTGACTGGTCTGAGTTTTCCGGCTCCCTTCCTGGCAGTTTCATCTCAGGTGTGGGTACCTTGTTTAAGGGCTTGGGCACACTCCTCCGCATTGCTCACCAGAGCACTGGCAGTCTCTACCACGGTGGGCAGCCTGGCATACCAGTTCCTTAGAACATCCTGCAGAGAAACAAGGCAATGCCCTTCAGCACAAACCTCTTCCTTCTCAGATGTGTCTTTGCATTGATGGGGGGCTAAGAGGCGCACACTCCCCTTGCGGTGTCCACGTTCTTGAGCTTTGGGACAGCTGCAGCAGGGGTGGGTTCTACTTACCTTTACTACCGGTTCGCAGCGGGGCATGTGCAGAAGCATTTTGATGACACCAGGGTCGGTGGGCGGAGCCTCCTGCCGGTTTTACTACCGGTTCTATAGAACCAGTGTGAACTGGGGGCAACCCATCACTGAGCGGCAGGCAACAGTCCTGCCACCACTTCCCCGCCCCCCCCAGCGATCCACAGGTGCTGTGGGCGGTGATGTGAGGAGGGTCAGGTAGTTGGAGGCAATCAGCTGGCCGTGGACCTTCCCCCGTCAACTGAACAGGCAGGTTCAGGAAGGGGCAGGGCACAGCGCCTTTGGGTCCGCTTCCGCTTCAAATGCAGCTGAGCGGGGGGGGGGCAACTTGGAGAGGTCAGACAGGGATGGGGTTCAAGTCTCCAGGGCCCACTCAGTTTAGAATAGCTGGTGGGTGGCACCTTGGAGCCCCCCTTGGTTGCTGTGGGCATACAGCGGCACTGCAAGTTATTGTTTCCAACATCAAGAGTGCAGGAGAAAAAAGACTGGGGTAGCTACAGATCAGTCAACTTGGACCTGTTTCTTGAAAATCCTGGAGTTAAGATATGAAATATGAAGTTATCATTGTTTAGAGAAGAATGCACAGTTTGACAGGAGCCAGAATGCACTTAGTCAGACCAAATCTTGTTTGCTAAAGTAACTAGATTAGTTGACCATGGAAATACAATAGAGACGCCATCTCTTTTCTTTAGTGAAA